TTTTTTTTAAAAAAACAACACACTTCAAAATGCAATAAGTATTTTGCTTATAAATGCAGGAGATGCTGCTAATTCCCAAGAATAAATGTAATTCACCTCCTAACCTTTGCTATATTCTCAGATGTTGTAATGATATTTGTGCAAATATACACGTTTTCAACTATTTGCTCTGTTTGATACTAAATGTTCTTTGCAAACATTCAAGGTAATGTTTTTAAATGTGAAAATGTAATAAATATAAATATTGTTTGAAATACCAAAATATTCTCTGGGTAACAAATGTGTTCCATTTTAAAGGCATTTGGGACAAATTTCCCATTGGTAGCTCAATGCGCCCAAAGATGTTTGGAGTTGAGATTGTATCCAAATGTTTTTTTGTATTTTTTCTGCAAAAATTCTCTTTCCAGATACTATTCCTAACTATTAAATCATAATCTAGTGTGCGCACCGATAATGGTATATAAAGCCCAATGCTTGACAAGTATAGACCCACTGGACTGTCTGTCCAGACAGAGCTGTTTCAAACCAGCAAAGGCTTTTTGCTAAACCACAGTTGCAGGGGTAAGCCTTATGACTTCACTGTTTGTCCTGCCATAATGCTCACCCTAATGTTAATCCATCGTCCTTAAATGATTCCCTTCAAATCATTAGTTTATATAAAATACATAAACGCTAAACTTTTAAACTTCATTAGTGCAATAGCAGGTGCTGTCTCACAGAACATATATGCCTTTCACCATACGTCTGAAAATCATTACATTTTACATTTTAGTTCAATGTTTTATTCACTGCTGGTATGTCAAACCTGAATTCAAATAAACATTAACCTTTATATACCCAGATCTGACTAGAACCACTCAATTTAAGAAGCTTTTTTGTAATCTGGCAATACACCTTAAAAATATTTGTTTAATAGAACGTGACAGTTTTTCACAACAATGTCAAACTTGTCTGCCAATTGATCTTAAAGCACAATTTACATTACATTATAACTTAATGAAAAAGTATAATTCTTGGAATGATCTTTTTGGTTTAATTGTGAGCCTTACTGTAGATAACTGACCACTTTATGCAATGCAGGCTCGCAAGGGTGTCACAACCTATCCCAACAGCAACAGGCAGTCCCTGGACAGAACACCAGTCCAACGCAGGGCACACACAGACACAGACACGTACACACCAGGGCCAGTTTTCCCACAAGCCCATTAACCCACCTGTATGCAGTGCAATGGCTCTGTGGCTAAGGATCTGTGCCTACGCCTGTGGCTGGAAGGTTGCCAGTTTGTATCCTGTAGCTGACAGATGAATCCTACTCCTCTGGGCCCCTGGGTAAGGCCCCTTAACCCCAACTGCTCCAGGGGTGCTGTATAAATGGCTGACCCTGCGCTCTGACCCCAAGCTTTTCTCTTTATCTGTGTGTCTCATGGAGAGCAAGTTGGGGTATGCGAAAAGACAAATTCCTAATACAAGAAATTGTATATGGCCAATAAAGTAATCTCTCCATCTTTGGACTGTGGGTGGACACCCATATGAACACAGGGTGAACACACAAACTCCATGATGATAGTGCCAAAGGGCCCCAGCGTTCCAAGGCAACAATGCTAACCACTGCACCACCATGCTTAAAATCATCTATTAAACTGCCTTGATTATCCAAGCAAAGTTGTCTTTCTCATATTCTTCAACATTGTGTATTGTACCTAACAACACTTTGCTTCATTAAATGTTCCTGACTTGTTTAAGAAAGCTTAAACAGAGTTAAAAGAGGCTTTGCACCCTTTTGGAAGTGCATAGTGGAAGTTGTGAAAATCTCTTGGATGTACAGAAAACTGTGACGCTCAGGCAAAGTGTTAGCCAGAGGCTTGTGGGAGTGCTGGGTGAGGAGTAAAGCCAAGCACAGAATCAATTAATAAAGATTAATGCCCTTTCTTCAGTAGGCGTTAACAAAACTGCCTCTACCTCTGCTAATTCCCAGTATGGAAAATGTGATAGCAATCAAACAACTATTTACTCTGAGTACATCATTTAATAGCTATTAATACCAATGAGGTCCATGCAGTGTATTATCATGTGTGCAGATAATTCAGAACAACACAGATTTTTAGATGAATATTTAGCTGAAATGCATTTAAATTAATTACCTAAATGTGTCATTTCCTAGTTGTTCCGAGTCTGCCAAAGACTGGAATGAGTTTCTGATCCCATGTGACATCTTTGTAATTACAATGATATCCATCTTGTCATATCCTTTTATCTCCATTCTAAAATGATGGCAAATAACCCACATCTGCATTTAATGTGAAATCCTAAGAACAAAGCAATTGGTCAATTTGTTTGGGGCTGCATACTGACTGGACAAGACCCCTTTTTAATAATATTGCATTAAAGCTAAATTAAAGGGTTCATTTCCAATACATCAGAAAGCTGAGAAATCTAGTGTCTCGTTCTGATACACGGGGGGTAAACCATTAAAATAATTTAAAATAGATACAATTTATTTTAATGTGAAAAAAAAGAAATACATGTGCTCATGGCTAAATACAGTGTAGTGTGCTGCATATTTGAGTTCTCTAGAGATAGCCAAAAGAATATTCTAATTCCGTGAAGTGCCTAATAAAATGCCGGCAGACGTGATCAAAGAACAGAATGTTCTTATGAAAAGTGAAGATTGAGAGAGAAGCCCCCTTTTCCCTACTTGTGCACTTTCAAAGGTCTTATCTTGATTGGGCTCAGCTGTTGCCTGACAACATTTAGATACAGTATACTTGAGGAGTTCAAGGTCCTTCAGTCACTGTCCACATGCCTTAAAGCACCAGCCTGTGCAGTCTGCCCTTTGGCATCTTTTCGTTTCTTAATTTGTTTCATGTTCGATTAGTTTTTCTTGGCTGTCTCTAAATGATCAGCTTTAGCTTCCTATCCTAGCAAGAGCTGCAAAAGCTGTCTTCAAAAATGTGAAAATATCTTAAGATGTGCCATTCACACTCCTTCTGGTTCAATTTTTAGAATTCTAATCTTAAAGCTACTGTACATATCACAAAAAAGCAAGCTGAAATGACAGCAACCAGAACTCCATGTAGAATAAACAGCAAGACATGATATACATGCATGATGTTCTCTCAGTGTTCTTTGTGTGCAGTTTTTTTTAGTTTAGATAAGCATTAGGTCTATTTTTTTTTTCTAGCAGGCTTCCAAATGCTTAATCAGGTTTTATGAGGTACAGCCTGGTCTTTGTCTTTTCCGAATCGCCCTTTTTAGTAGTATTAAGGTGAAAAGCACTGAGTGGATATTACTTTCTCTAATTTCTTAGGTCTTTTAAAATTCATCAAGCCAGTGGCAGAGCTAAACATTTCTGTGACCTGCTGGTATGGTTATCTGTGAATTTCAACTACACATTAATGGGACAGACTACAAGAGGTTTACCTTTTCGAATCAATCATTATGTAGGACAATTGTGATGGGATTTTAGGAGAAACCTGGAACAACTTTTTGTAGTGCCCGCTTTAATAATACATTAACTGTATAGTCAGCGTTCCCAGTGTTACTCATTGTTACTAAAATGGCTTCTCAAAGCTTACTAAGTGCAGATGTGGTTTCAGTGTTTGTGGAAAGAATGCAAAGCTCCCATTGAGGCACAGTAGCAAGTCCTTTGCAGCTCATTTGCTCTATATCCTCTATATCCTCATGCCACTGTGAGATGAATACGTAAGCCTTTTTCCCACTTCTTGTCAGCATTATATGTACATTGCAAAACAGTTTTAAGGCCGCAACAAAAATATCCTCCTTAAGATCAATGTGTATTCCTACACTCTGTAGGAGCTGCCTGCTTCCTTGACTTTGTGAGGACCAGCTTTTTTAAATGCAATACCTTTATCATGCATCTGTATACTAAACATGTTTTCCAATGTTGCCGTAAAACATCTTTCTCCTAGCAAATCATCACTCCAAATTCCAAGTGTACTTTTAAACATTACAGAAGGGTCATCCCTGGAAGTGGTTAATGATTGGATTTTAGGCGTTGTTCACAAATGTTAATGGATCCTGCAGTATTTGACTGCAGACACACAAACAAGGGTCTGTCCTTCACTGAGGGTGAATGGGAAGGCCTTTGCACTAATTCTACAGCAGCCTGAGTTGTGACAGTAGGCTCAGAAGTGACTCATCAGCGCATTGAGACTTTGGTCAGTTCTGGTGTAAGAAAGTGCATAATTCTAGGGCAAAGTCCTGGGAACGCTGCAGGTAAGCTTTTGAAAAGGCTTTTTGAAAATTTAATGTTGTACCACATTGCAGAAGTTGACATTCCTTTGACATGAAATAATGTCTCTGCACGTTTTTACCAAAGGTTTGTTGGTCTTAGATGAGGCTTTATACTGTACATTCTGTCTCAGTTTCCCTCTTTTTATTGATATTATGATGTTTAAAAATATCTCCATACTTGGAAAGCAGCTTCAGTTAATATTTTAGAAATCAAAACAAGTTGTGACTGCACATTCACAGCACACAATTGATTTTGCCAGACAGCTGTTGATTTATACACTGTTTTCTCCTTTTCTGCAATACATAGAATTAGAATTTATTTACTCTCCAACACTAGAGTAGAGTAAGGCTAGTTAGGTTAAAGTTATTGTATGTCTACATAGAAAGTCACATGAAAATTTTATATTTATATATTCAAAGACTTGAAAAATTATGCTGGGCTAGTTGAAGATCAAGAATGAAGACTGCGAGTGAGAGACATTAGTGGAAATGGAGAGCAGATGCATATAATTGGAAATAGTGTGGTTTTCTGAACAATCTGCACCACAATTTTGTGTATTTCTGGTAATACTTTTACGAAATGGCTGGAGTTTGTGCTTATTGGGTTAAAAATCTACTCATAGCCAAAACTGCTAAAAGGCCTGATATGCAGGGTTAACATTTTTGGGAAAATTATTTTAGTATGCTTTTATCAGATCCTTTTTTGTATATCTCCCAAAAACCTATTGTCATTTTTTTTTCTTTAGTTTGCTGCCCATCTGGTCAAGGTGTGCTACCCAAAGGTCTGTATCCTGGATGGAGGCATTAACAAAATGAAGCCTACAGGTCTGCTGACAGTCCCCTCTCCTCAGATCTGAGATATGGGTCCAGATGGCACTTATGAGCCGGAGAACCTACTCAAAGTCAACGGCAATTTGAACGCTTTTTTTGTTGTCTTTTTAATGTTGATTTGTGGACAAAAACGCAAAAGCCAAACTCTTTCTGGATGTTTTATTTATTACATTTTATCAGATTAAATGGTGCAGTGTTTTTATTTTTCTCTTTTGTTTGAAAGACACCGTGTTGAACGAGCAAAAAGGGAAGTTTCTCAAGAGACATTCAGTTTAATAAGGTTACTAATATTAATAAAATTACCAGTAAAACTTGTGCTTTCAGAGCCTCTTCTGCCTTGCAAGATGTTAATAGAGATAAAACACACTCCGAGAAATGGAGTTGTGCAATGATTAATCTGAAAATCTGTAGGTGATTCTTGCGTCTTTTTTGTCTTTTAAATGCACCATGAACTGCAGTGCGGCTTGTCTGTACCTCATGAATTATTTTAAAAGCTATCCATAACCACCTACGTGATTATGAATCATGTCTGTTGTCTAAAAGTCTGCACAACGAACCTGGTACTTCTTCCATAAATTACAAAGTTCATCAGGAGCACTGAAAAAGATGGATATTGGATAGAATACTCCTTTCAATAACTGATATTTCTTGTTTTACGTATGAAGATATAAGTACGTGATTGAATTTCTGTGAGAACTTTAAAAAATGAACATTTGCTATAGCTGATGTTTTGTGGTAAATTGTAATGATGACTTTATTTATGAATTGGCTTAAATTAACTTGTTTTGTTTTTGATTAAGATTAATTTAGCCCACTGTGATAATGTAAGACTTAACAGCCAGTAATAATGATGATGTGTTTTACAGCTGTCATTGTGGCTTGATTGATTGACACTCAAAGAAATGCTTTTCAAGGTGAATGTTTACGTCAAACAGATGCTGTATTGTGGGTATATAAATGACCTATTGAAATAGTAACTGAGCCACTTTTAAACTGGGAGAGAGAAAAAGTTTTAAAAGAACAAGACTGATCTGTTTGATAAAAGAAAGATTTGTGGTGTAGAAAGTTATGTATAAAAATGTCAAAATTATGTATGGGTTTGGCTTGCTGTTAAGTGCACTATAGCTGTTTTGTCTTATTCTTAACTAAAATAAAAAAATATGCCAGTATATCTGATTCCAGTTAGAATTGCCTTTGAACAATAAAACAGATCTCAGCAATTCAAATTTAATTTTGTTTCCTTTGAAGTGTTTTATCCTACTGCTAACATTTGGATATAAATAACACCATTGACAGAACATGTTTGCGACCTAGGATACTCATTAATATCCATTTCAAACATTCATTGTATTAAATGGAATATGTACATGTACATACAGTGTACTGTATGATGGGATAGTGTACATAACTCTTGTTAAATGCTAAAACTGGAGTAGGATTTTTCTCTGTAAGGAAACAGTTTTTTACCAAACTTAGGATGTTGTGTTTCACGAATGTTAATGATTACAAGGGCTTTTACCTGTCTTTTTCGGAAAGTGGAAACAAAGCATCAGGTACAGTAGTTGTTGTAATTATTTTCTTGTCTAGGTTCTGTCCAGCAGACGTCCTCATAGTTTAAAACTCAATTTGATACGACACAGAAACCACCATGTCAAATAACAACTGTCAGGTTTGAATTGATAAAATACAGTTGTATTTTTATGTAATTTAATCGTATGTCACCATATAGTGATTTTCTGCTCCTAATTTACCGAGGAGCACAAACCTCAATAAACAAGGCGTGTCATTGACAGTAGATGCATCTCATATCAAAACACTTTTCAGTGATATACTGTAGAAAAAAACTGATGGGAGGTGAATTTATATGATTTGATAAGTGTTTTCACCCTTCACAATGTGGGCATTGTGGTATATTTGTAGCACAGTTGAAGCAAAATGTATTCCCAAAGATTTTAATTTTTGGTTGGCATAACCCTTAATCTCTTACTTCGTTTCTCAGTACAGAACCTCTCCGTTTTGATTTCCACTACAGTATCTCTCTGTTCAGCTGCAGCACCTTCCCCAGTTTATTTATTTATAGCTCAAGTGTTGTGATGGACTTGGCAGACAGGTCCAAGTACAGTGCTTTGCATGCACTTGGATTATGGAAACAGTTCCTTTCTTTTTCAGAAAGATGGTAGAGTTCAGTGCTTTAACTCTGTGAAAAGAACGTTGGAAGCAATTAAATTAAAAACCAACAAGAAAAAGAATGGTTTACCCACTGAACCATGTAGTTCCCTGTAAAGCAGTGATGTCAGTGCTTTTAACAAACAAAGGGGATGTTTTGAAAGTAACAGATCCCTGAGAAATGTGCTGCTGAGTGCAAAGCTGGGGTCGAACTGCACAATTTGCAGGACATGGAAATACGTCAGTTTATTAAATATCTAACCTTCTTGTACAACTTCCAATGCTTGGCAGCTTTATTATCCAAAACCTATTCTTGCTCCCAGATAGGAGGAGGGATAGAACCAAGCACTGCTGTACCAAGTCAGCCATGATCTGTAGAAAACTCTTCATGGTTCAGTTGTTACCTAATTGCTTGTGAATCAAGATATAGTTAGACTACAATGCACACAATGCCTCTTTGTCAGGTGTTTAGCAGTCAGTGGTGGAGTTGCTTAGCTAAACCTAAAATTTAAAGGTCAATTCGAAATAAGAACATAAATATTGAAACCTTCACCTTCATAAACAGAAAAAGGAATTTGTCATATTTTATTGCAAAACACATTGCAGAAGGTACAACCAAAAAGTATGCTGACTAACCTAGTGATTAATATGTATTCTTTCAGCGTCTTTTATAATAGGAATTTTATTGTATTTTTTTTTACCCTTGGATGAGATGTCTCCCTCTTCCCCGAGATCAGCCCCTAACCCTTAACCTCATTTCAGGTGATGACAGTCAGGATCCGACTGTGCCCATTTGCTTTGTCTTCAAAATAATTGATATTTATGTGCTATTAGAAAGAGGAAACATTTATTCTTAGTTTTGTTAAAGTACCTTTCTAAAGTATTCAAATCCTTGCACAGTTATTTTACATGTTATCGCTTTGGAGCCTGTAGTTTGTGGGACTCTGTCCAATCACCTACTTTAAGTGATACTGCAAACATGTGGCAAAAGGTTTTAGGGTCAGCCAAGACAAAATTGGAATCTTTTGATTTAAATTCCAAGTGTTACATCTGAGACAAACCTAATATAGAGCATCACTCAGTCAACATCATTCCTGCTGTCAAGCATGGTGGTGGCAGTATAATGTTCTGCTTATCATCAGCAGGGAATGGGAAACTTGTCAAGTCTGATAGGAACAAAGTACCTGCTAATCTTAAACGAAAACCTGCTTCATCCTAAAACTGGGACAAAAAATTCAAATTTCAGCAGAATAGTGATCGGGAGCACGAGGCCAAAGCTTCACTGACGTGCCTTAAGAAGAAGAAATTGAAAGCCCTTGAGTGACCCCGTCAAAGTCCTGACTGCAATCCTGCTGAGAATCCAGGAAGACTTCGAGACCCCAAACAACTTGAGAGAGCGTGAGTAAATCTGCCAAGAAGAATGGGCAACAACGTTGTTGGTATAGGAGGTTTATAGAGACTTAGCCATAAAGATTTACAGTGGTGATCGATACCAAAGGTGCTTCAACCAGATATTGAGTTCATGGGTCTGAGCACTTCATGCATTCAACATATTTCAGTTTTTATCTCACTTTATGTCCATTGCCAGATTGCTTTGTTTTATTTCAATGTAAAGATCTGATTTTGACTTTCAGCACATTACATGTTCCTTCATTTTATATGGTTAGTGACAAGGTTTTAGCTTTGATTGTATTACAAAGTCCCGCTTGTGTCTTTGGGTGTGTAGCAGCAAGGTGGCTCTGACCTAGGCTATGTCAGTTGATTAATTAGAGCAGAACCAGTCAATCTGTGTAGGAAAAAATGCAAAGGGGCCACCTCACTAAAACAGTGTTAGCCCTGTGCTCACTAAAGCCAAACCTTTCATAGCTCTTCAAATCAGAACGAAACCTAAACGGCTAATGGAGTGTTGATGCAATTATTTTACCGATTGAAAACATCTAGAAAATACGCAACATAGGTTTGTACAATAACAATTTCTATGTCCATAATAGCCTTATCAGAAGTGGCTTTAAAGGATTGAGTCCAGTAATTCAGGTGAAGGGCTTGTTAACATTAGATATCAAGATTAGGGATTGACCCTCTATGGGTAACCACTTACTGTATGCTCTGTTTTTAGGCAGAGTTAGTAAGCCACTTAAATCAATTGCTGCTGTTAATTTTATTATTAGTACTATTACAAATATCTATAATAAATACCATTTGGTGATTAAATGTAATGTTTTAAGAGGCGAAAATGTTGTAAAAAGAGTAATAGCAATATTTGTTTCATCGTGACAATCCTACTAATCCATAATGTTGGTTATTCTGTTTTTTATGTTTATCCTCCTGAGGTTTTGTGGCTAACAGTATTTCCCTACCAAGCACCTCTCCCTCAAAACTTTTTTTCCCATGAAGAGCACTGAGTAATTTCCAAAAATTTAAGCAAGTATCTCGGACTGTATGTTGTGAAACTAGGAGAACATAGGTTATTAGGTGTCCCTTTCATCCCAGGACAAAGAAGGTGACAGACCAAATCCATTATATTCTCTCAGCTTTGTAGGACATGAAGACATCATTAAAAAAAAAGTTACAGGCAGCAGACTTATCACCACAAACAAATGTGCTTCCTTCTGTCTGACACTGTAAATTAGTGATGCTGTGTTTCTTAATACTGTAGGTAACCGTGGATCATCTACTGTATGAGATACTAAGTATTGTATTGTTAAAAATGAACAATTGGGTGTTAAATGAAAGAAGGCCTCAGAATCAAGAAAAAAAGAAGTACAAGAATTGCCATAATTTAGGAATTACAGCATAATGGCTTCTGTATAAAGACTATTTTAGACGACACACACAGAAAGGAGTTCAGCACAGAGCAGGAAGCTAGGCAATTTGTTGTCAATCATATAGTCTTTCAGCAGTAGAATATGAAACATCGGTCTGCATTGCTTTTGTTCCTCATCCTTTGTTACTGTATGTTTCTTCAGACTACACTCCCTATTCATGAAGAGCAATTTCTTTTAGAACTGGTTGCTTATTTTTCCCCCACATTGTCTGTGCTACCCCTCACTGGTGTCCAAAACAGCATTTTATAGTCCTTACAACTGCTCCTAATCATCTTTATAGCATTGCGCAGGGAGGAATTGAAAGGGTGGGTGACTGGCCTCTATGAATTCCCTTAAAGAGGTTATATAAAACAAATCTACTGCATATTCATCTGGGTTAAAAGCAAATAAGTACCAAGGTTTCAGTGCTTCACAAAACACTAACTTTGTGTACGCCCTAAATTGTTCTAAATATAAGAAAATGAAAAGGTTTTACAATAGTATACCAGTGATTTCAGTGTATTTCTTCTTTATGCCTGGATCAGGTAATGAGCCAACTATAACTAAACTTTCTGAAGGGAAGGGTTATTTATTTAGCCAAGGCTCTCTCAGCTCTCTTCCACTTTGTTGAGCACTGCAGGCTTTTAATGAAGCACTGCTCCTCCATACAGAGCTAACCCACCAGTATGGTGTTGCAGAGCTTTTACAGCTTGACTAGCTTGATGAGTAAGTTAGGCTGGCAGAGATTGTCAGCTCTTCCTGATTCCCCCCATGCAGGGCAGGAGTTGGTAGCTGTGGTGTGGCATTTAAAAAGAGTTATTGATTCCGATATTGAATTTGGTATAAAATAGAAGAAAAAGGTCAAAGACTACAGCACAGACTTGTCGACATGCTGCTGTTCTTTGTTGGCCTCACTTATCTTTTCATACAGTTACGGAAAGAACTTATTCTCCATCCCCATGAGGGCCACCGGTTTACATATTCCCATTCCCAGAAGACAAGGACTTTTATGTCCCCGCCATTGTCAGTTTTGAATTTTGTTTTCAGTGGCAGAAAGTCAAAACGCAATTTCAGCCTGGCCCTCAACTATGGATCCATTGTGTATGCTCTAATGCGGTGATAACTGACTGAATGGGAGCGGTAGTGCTGTTTTGTCCTGCTATGGCGACAGAAGCAGACTGTCAGAACTTTCTTGATAAGCCACAGTGTGCCACATAAACCTGGCGCCACAGAACAAAGAGAGGATTGTTTGCACGACAAGAAAGGTTGTGATATTTTATATCCAATATGATACAGCAAGTGAAGAGCTAAGGGAATGTCAAAGATCATAATTGACTTTTATATCTCAAGTACACAGCCAGCCCTTTTTCACAAATGGAAGATTTCCATCTTTAGCTTCGGGCAATTTTGGCATTAGTGGCGCATTACTTGTCTTCATTTAAAAACACCTTGACACAAGGGCTTACTCCTTTTCCTTCTTTTCTGTTGTTGCTATCGTTGACAACTGCTATTATTCATTTAGTTGTCTGCATCAGAAAAATATTTTTGAGTAAATCCTAATTTAATTGCATAATAGTTGTGAAAACAAAAGAAGCTAACTTCTATGCACTCTTCTGTGTGGAGTGAAGCCAATGCATAAATCGACAGATTATAGTGTGAGTATGGGTAGCTACATTTATTTCAGTTCTTAAAATAAATCTCACAGGAAATGCAATGCTTGCATACAATGGTGGATTTTCTAGCTACACTAAAACATCCTCATTCTTAGAAGGCACCTACAGTAAACCTACTATACGTGTATTTTCCGTAATAGTTTTTATATAGAGTAAATGAAACAGTCATGGTCTTCATTTCCTCCTGGCCTTTACCAATTTTAGCCTCCTATAATAAGCCGCATGTATGAACTGGCTTTATCACTCTGTTCTCTTCCCCACTGAAAAGTAATGTGTGGTAAGTGTACTGGTACACTTTGGCTGACATTGGATCATCCTGGTGAATGCTTAACAGAGGTGGTGTTTACCTTTAGAGTGCTTTGAGTGAAATGTCCACAAGCACTATATACTGTACAAGTACAGGTATGTATTATTTATTATTATTCATTTAATAGTAAGAATGTGAACGTGTGCAACTTTTTGTTTCTAATTGAAACAGAGGATCTGTTATTTTCACCTTTGTGTAACTACTGTAAATTAAATTGATGTCAATTGCTTGAATTGATTTTATGGAAGAGGGCACTAAGAAGTTCATTGTCCTCGTAATATGATGTGTTCATATTAAATTTTGAATTTAAAATGAAGACATCTGCATTAGTGTTTGAGACCCAGCAGCTGTGCAGATCTCAGTGGTATCAGAGTTCAGTGTTATAGACAAGCCTTCCTATTGTTATGTCACAAATGTCAACTCCTGTAGTGGCGTATAGAGAGACACTGCACACACTTTTGTTAATGGACCATATTGTGGGGGAAGAACAGTAAATCTGAACCTTAAAATAACAGATTCCTGTGAAATATAATAAGCCATTAACTATCCTGGGATACTGGTATTTATGAAAGGCTGTACAATAATATTTTCTGTAATAAACCAAGATATATTCCCTGATGACTTTTGAGTGGTACAAAAAGAAAATAGTCTATCCCTCTCCCCTTTTTATTTGACCACTGACTGCTGTTTGCAACGCATGTCATGACATTAGGCTTAAGTGTACGTCCAATCTCAGTTTACAAATGTTTTATCATTTTATCCTCATTCTCCATGGTGGGGTGTAACTTTACCATGATCTGTGGTGCTACATTTAGCAAGTCCTGGTAAGATTTCCAAGGTCTTGTGGAAAATTCCAGTCATGCTCATAACAATGGTCCGAGGACTCTTTCTTGTAGCTTGAGGATGACAAAAGCCGTTTGCTGAGGTAACTAGATATTTTCTGTCATTCTTCAGTGTATAGAGTTGTTTGAAGCTGCTTTCATTTTTCTAATGTTTCAGATCTTCTATTTGGACAGAGCTGTTTAACTTTTATTGCTATTATAAACGACGTGTTCCAAGTATACTGCCAAATTTAGAAGAAATCAATACAAGGCCGCATGCAGCGCTTGTTTTGCTGATTATCCTTACCTTATACAGTTTTCTGGGTGTTTATCTCACTTTTCTAGATGTATATACAATAGATCACAAAAGTACTTCCCACTGGGAATGCATACAGAGTGCTTTCCTTGTCATTGGTCGTGCTGAGCACACACCACTTTAAGATCACTTGGGAAAAAAAATACAATACAGCCGTTTCTGCAAAGCTAAAGAAAGACTTCCAAAAAAGGAAGGCTTTAAGCTGAACCACTTACTGTATCTGCACCGTAACATATGAAGTGCCTCACTGTACTGTATGTATACCATCAGAGCTTTATACAGTTATCTAATAGAGCCCTTTTCAGGAATGTTGGGCATGTGCCAGACTTTATATTAAAGATAATACTATACTAGCTGTTATGCTTTTCACACCAGTGGCAAAAATAGACAATGTATTATGTGGATTTATCCAGACCATATGTCTTTCTTCCAAAAATACTTCTCCTTTTCATCTTTACATACTGTAATATGCAGTATTAGGCAAGCGTAAGATAGCATTTAATTTTATGAAAAAGTTTGTTTGCTGAACTACTTGTGCTGGGAAAGCTACTTAATTTAGTGAACTGTTAAATATTACGATGATCTTTTTATATGTCTCCAGCTAACAACAGATTTCTTGAATTCGTTTTAGATCCATGTTATTAAAGCAAAAAATAAATAAATATGGTGATCTATCTAGATCTAGATGTGCTCTGTATGGGCATTGAATGGTATTTGCTTTGTTGAAATACTGCAGTATAATATTTTGAAGATTCCATCAAATACCGTAAAGACTCAGAACACTATGTTACCCAAATGGAGAGGTACAGTATTTTAAATGTTTTACAAAACGTGTGTTGGATTGTAAGCAGAAAGCAAGTATTAAACAGACCAATATGTTCATCTTGAACGATTACTTTCTTACAGGACGAGGACAGGGAAATACCCTCTATATATTATAATACTGGTATTAGTCTGAAGATTACTTAAGCATTTGCAAGGTTCCACTAGTTATACTTCGAGTGCTTTAAGATGGAGAAACAGCAAGGTGCATCTGAGAGATTGCTGGTTACAAAATGTCAAAATGATTGGATAATGTCTGAATTGTCCATTGTGCTAGAAACATTTATGTACCTGGTTTGTATTTTATTCTATTGTAAAATTCTACTGTAAGTTCACCATGACAGCTTGTAATGGGAATATTACCTTGACATGCCTCGCACAATAGAAAATGCTTATGCATGGGATGCTCAATGTGGGATATTCTATGACTCCCAAAAACACCAGTATTAATCAGCATTTATGCAAAACAATATACTGTAGAAGCATACACACACAGGGAAGTTGAAAACCCAAAAGGTAAATACTGTACATATAATTTTTACTCGAAATTTGGATTAGGTCTCTCTGTAACATTTTCTGTGAACACAGCAGATCAGTGCTTTTGACCCATTCACAGTTAGAAAACTGAAAGTTTATTTACATTTTTATTGAGTATAACACTGGTTGAAAATTAATGTTTTAGTACAAGAATATGTGGGCCTGTGCATTCAGTCACACTATCACTGAGACCCATTCTAGTATTCAACTAGACTATTGTACAAGTTAATAGTTATCCTCAAGCATAACAGGAAATTGTCACATTTCCCCATGAAAACTAAACCCCATAATATTTAACCATGTAAACAGCAGAATACTGTTGAGTTACTACATTTAATACGGTTTGAGTTTTTAGTTTATCCACAACTTTGAACTTAAATTACAGGGGAAAAATCATTTACATAAGAAACCACAGTTCTTACAGATTTGTTTTAGACTGATTTCAACAGCTTTGTACCACACTTTTTACTTTGCACCAGCATGAAAATGTTTTAGAATATATACAAAATTTTAGAAATGTTTATATAAGTGAATAGAATGAGGTTTTATACACACATGCAGAACCTGGCCAAATTAAAATGAGCACCCCTGTACAACCCCCAGTCTTGCACAGAGCAGATGCAAACACTGTAATGTCTATCAGTGTGACCCTGTACCCCCTGCAGGGCCTGACACAGATGCTAAAAGAGTTAAGAATGATATAACTGACATGACATGACTGAAATTGTGTAGTAAAACTGAACAAATCCACAATGTTTTAGGGGATGCTCATTTTAATATAGCAGGGCCCGGTACATATATTTACAATCCTACACATGAGTAACTTGAAAATAATTCAAGCCATTCATCAGTATAATAAAAAGCACCAAACAAAATACATAGAAATTAACTCAATGCTTTTCATAATGGCAGTATTGCTACAGTACTGTACGTTCTTGGCTGATTCATAGAAATACTACATTAATGAAACAGTGCTTAATAACCTACTCAAATGATTATACTGCTGTTCCCGGCTCTACAGAAGCATGGTAAACCTGTCTGAGAAGACCAGCACATTTTAATTACATTTTTATAAAAACTGATGTCTATTAAATAACTGTCACTAGTTCCATGTCAAATTATTCTTTTTCTTCAAACCACTGTTTTTCTCCTTCGTATGAAAACAAAAGATAAATGTATTGTCTTGATTTTTAATCCAAATTTCTTTTAAGTGGTAAAGGCCATATGATTGACACGAATAAATATGAAACATTAAAATACATCTAGAATACAGATTTTTCACCCTTTTTCCATCTAAATTCACAGGCAGTGCCTTTATACTTCTGCTGTAAAAAATGATCAGTGAGTTCAGAGACAGGAACATTTGAAAAAAAATTTAAAACACCTGATAAATTTGCCTCCTCAATGTAATCTAACATACGAGCTTGACCCTCTACCTGCATACGAAAGCTAACGTTTTTTGGCTTTCCGTTTAAATAACATCTTCTTATCAAATATTCTGCATTCAGCTTCAAAGTGTGTGCCGTTTCTTTATTTTTAGAATAGTTTTAATGAACATACAATAAATCCAAAAATATAACCTTGATGTGTATACTGTATGTTGAAAATGTCTTAATGCTTTCTTGAATACTATTACTAGCCCATGCATGATGAAAATGTACTGCAAATGCTTGCTAAGCTTGCTCTGACAGGTGATTATTCCAAAAGACAAATCTGTGAAAACTAACAACAGGCTGTTTTTTTGCTGATTTTATGTGATTGATGTGGCACTGCCTGCTGCGATTCAGTTGCAGTTGTTCGATCGCAAATAGTGCCTTTCCCTATACAGCCCTTGGCCACAAAGAAGCCTACAGTCTCACTTTCAAGGGCAGGACGTCACTTCTGTAACACTTTCTGTCTCACCGAATATTTACAGCATCTTATTCAGAGGTATGCTATATATAAACGATCAAAGGCAGAAAAGAAAAATGTATTTTGTATTTCAGTCAGACAACGTAAACAAAATCACATTTTAATCTCGGTTTTGTTTTTTGCCTCCTGTCACACATATTATTAAACAAAGACTGTATGCATGTGCTTAAACAACTGGTGTGACGGACGTGGACGATTACAGTTCATGTGCTCCAGATCATAGTTCGAAAGATAAACCTCCTTGCACTGAAATTTCCAATATGATTCATTGACTTTTCCAATACGGTCCTCTACTCATTACGTCTTCTGTTAGTGAACAAGATCTCCAACATCTTTAGCTCCCACACATTCCCCAGATTTAAATTAGCTCTCCTAATTTCACTTTGGGCAGCAAAAACTCCTCTTTAAATTCTTCACATGGCTTTCTCCAAACTGTTTCTCTCCATTCTGAACTATACTAAATACAGTATACATCTTGTAATTATTACAATTTAGTGCTGTCTGAATTCTGAGGGTATTTTTTTGGCAAAAACTAATTGTTTGGCTATGCAGATCAGTAGCCATACTAGTAGCCCAGTAACTTACTTCCCCGTTTCATACTTTGTGCCAACATTTTACTACCATATTTCTCACTTAGGTTCTGCACAGCATCTGAAGCACAAGCTTATTGTTGGAGTACATCTAGGATTAAATTAGTTAAATACATGTATTGTATAGAAAATGGTGATTTTTTTTACTGGTGGCATGAATACCATATGTTCTAATACAAAAATATTGCTTTTTAACATGTTTAAATATGGTAAAAGACTGTTAAAAATGGAAATTAATTGGATGACTCCTGTAGATGTTACAGTATATAAACAATATCCATCCACCCTGAAAAAGAATTCCTACCAACTCAATAGCTGCATATTTAGAGCAAATCATTTACTTGAAGTTGTGAAGTTAGTCAATACTATTTAATGTCAACTGGTCAGCACAGAGAAGCTTATTTTAAAAAAAGTCAATTTCAAAAATGTCAACACAGTTGTAATAGGAATTATTCCCAGAATGAAGAGTGTGGCACACAATAATAATTTTTAGATATGAATAAGACATAATTCTTTAAAACAAACAAATGGCAGGACAGAATCCACTTTTAGAGGTAAAGATAAATACAATTTCACTAGGATTCATAAGATGAAAATAGGTTCACATTGTGATTAACACTCATGCCAGCATTCCTCTGCTTTAGTGGAGCATGCACAGAATATACACAAAGAGAACAAGAAAAGGAGAGAAAATGAATTGAGAAGTCCATTATTCTGACTGTTTTTCTCTAATCTTTCTCAATTTGAGACACACTTCTTTGGAATTGCTCTGTTCAGGCTTCTTGTCCCGTGAATCATATACTCCAAGTAGTTGAGGAGCAGTGTCCATTCCAGTTTTTTTTGTCATCACGTTAAAGTCTTCTCAGATTGTGCTCTTCCGTGCAGGAACCTCTTCTGAGACTAACATCATCCACGCTGATCTCTCCAATCCTACCTCTCCCACGCTCTCCTTTCAAGATGACCTGAGAACAAAAGCAATAGAAAAGAGGCTTACTCCTACAAGCAAAAGTTGTTACACTTTTGTTTTTTTACAATAAAGGTAATATGTCAGGAAACTACTTGATGTAAGATAAAGCCATTTAGTGTTGGAGTACAGGAAGGTGATTTCATACACTGTACACCACCACGATAACTTTTAAAGGCTTTAGCTATAAGCAGAAATTTGATCTATTTTTTTAACAAATTAAGACAGCTATTCTTCCTCAAACAATTTTGTGGAAAAGAAACGTTCATTTACCTCAACCAGTATTATCTCTAATATTTCAGTTGTTTGGTCAAATTCAAGTAATGTGTATGAGGGGATAGCATCCTTGATACTTTGACTTTAACCCGCCCAGCCGAGGGAATAGATACTGCTGATTGGGAAGGATTAAACAGTATAAAACATATACAAGCCTGGGACACACGTGCGGTGGGTTGGACCTTTGACCAGAAACAGAGAGAAAAAAGTGCGAATGAGGTAGAGTGGACCGAGCAGCATTACGAGACAGAGAGAATGGATGGGAAAAGTGGGGACAAAACGTCCGCAGTTGTTCGGCGATTGTGGAAGGCTTGACGATATCGGAAGAACTGAAAAAAAAAGCACAGATGCCATGGTGATAGCACAGCCTCTTGCTTTCAGTGGAGGGTGGAGGGATGAGGTTGATAACCCAGAAGAGGCGAGACATTGACTCTGGTCCTCATTTGAAGGAGATGGACGCAATGAAGATAAGGTCCCACCAATGCAGACATTAATCTGCAACAAAACTTAAAGAAGAATGCCGGATGCTGGAAAAGATCATTGCAGCACTGTGTTTAGCCAGGAAGTTTTTATACAGTATGTATGGAAGAGGAGCTGAATTTGACTTCCACCTAAGCCTCTGTTAAAGAACAGAGGGGTTGTGATGAATGCAGACTCCCGGGCCACAGACCATAGTCCTGAGCCAGAATATCATCTACTTTAGGAGTGTGCGTTTCAGTGATCTGTCACTGTTGGCTTGTGGAACCCCTGCGGGCTCCTAAGATGTACCGGTGGTCCCCTTTTTGAGAAGTCTGCTCAGTCCCAAAAAACAGTCCTTCACAGAGGTATTAGTTCCCAAAAAGGTCTTCAGCATCTCTTTTCATGTGGAACAACTCCTCAGTCATCTAGCCAGCAGCCATATCACCCTGCAACTCACAACTAGCAACCCATTGAAGCTAAGCAGGTGTGAGCCTGGTCAGTACCTGGATGGGAGACTAAGGAAAAACTAAGGTTGCTGCTGGAAGAGGTGTTAGTGGGGCCAGCAGGGGGCGCTCACCCTGCGGTCCATGTGGGGGTCCTAATGCCCCAGTATAGTGACGGGGACACTGTACTGTAAACAGGCGCTGTCCTTCAGATGAGACGTAAAACTGAGGTCCTGACTCTCTGTGGTCATTAAAATCCCAGGGTGGAGGGAAGTCCCCATTTCCTGTAAAGCGCTTTGAGTGGAGTGTCCAGAAAAGCGCTATATAAGTATAAGCAATTAATATTATTATCTAGTCCACTGAGAGAGCTGGAACAGACACATTCCTGACGACCTCACGAATTCTCCACTTCTCTTCTTTCTTACAAAACATAACTCTTTTCCCTGGAAACCCTGCTCTCCCATCCATGGCCACTCTTCCCTTTCCCAGGAAGGAACCTGTCCCATAACTACTCTAGGACCTCCCGGCACACTCAATGAGGCTCACACTTCCACAGCCAGTCTTTCCTACTCTGGAAGATACATGTTACCTGTCTCATCCAAGACCTACTAGTGTCCCTTACCCTCTGGCACACAGTTCTCAAATATAAACACTACTAGTTTACTAAACTTTAAAGACTACAGAGAATTCAAACTGAACCAGGAATACACTACACACTATAAAGATTATTAGATTCTTTCTGTGAATCCATCTTTCTTTACTAAATTCACCCATAAAAAAAATCCTTGCAAGTCTACATTAGGTCTTTCTAACTTTGCAAACCTTAACTGGACCTAGGACTGCCTGCTGTCTCCTGGTGTTAAAGCACAGGAGTTCCACACTCCTGTACTATCTGAACTCTCTGCAATTCAGCATACAACTAACATGCTCTCCCTCCCTGGAGTGCAAGAGGTTAGCCGCAGCTCCCTACGCCTGATTGCTGTTATAGAGTCATTCAAGGATGTCCAATTTACTGCAGAGAAGGAGAAGGCTTTAACTGAGCCTCAGCTGGCTCCATCACAGGGGTGTTAACCATGGTGTCCTGGTCAAATTTCCTGCTGGCCTTCACAAATCATGGCCTTCTAATAACCCCATCTAAACTGGCTTCAATACTCTGTTCTCCTCTCCACTGATTACTGATGTGTGGTGGTGCTGCTGTTGCATCATCCAGGTAGGGCTGCACATTGTTGGTGGAGGAGAGGAGTCTGCATTGGTCATATAGCGCTTTGAGTGGAGTGTCCAGAAAAGCATTATATACAGTAAGTGTAAGGAATTATTATTAATACCATAAAATCGTCATCCCTCTTTGTAGAAAACAGAAAGCTCTGTCAATTCCCGTGCAGTATTCTCAGTTTGGGCTACTCACGCTGTCCAGTCCTGATGCCCACAGTGTGATCTGGGTCTGCCTCCAGCCATGGCCTCCAGTCCTGCTCCACACTGCCGGACTCTGCTGTCTTCCTTTCTTCACATACACCTGCAGATTGCCCACATGGTGCCCAGACAGCTTGTGTCTGAAGGTCAGGCACAGGTTACCCGTGTTCCAGGGCTCCTTCAGGGGAATCACCAGCCTGGCCACTCTTCCTCCTCGTTTATCACCAACCTCAGGAATTGTCAGGTACTTTCCACCTGAACACACAAGACCATTGTCATTTTCTGAAGTCACAAAACAACAAGTACTCTAATTTAATCTCTTAGCTTGTCAATGTTACCCTTGAACGGTCTTGGAGCAAGCAGGTCATTTTCATATAGGTAATAAGATACAGCAACAAAATTGCTAGAATCCTGTTGATACTGTTCATACTATTTTTCTCATTTTAACTTGAAAATATACCCTTAATTCGAGAGACTATTGAAAGAGTTTTGTTAACTTCCTATGAATAATACCTCTTGTCATGCAAGTTCAATTGGTAAAATACCATCAGGCCCTGGTCTTCAGTGCCTCTAATATTTGTAACATTTCTGCATATGAACTTATAACAGTACTCTCTGTAACATATTTGAGTAGCTGCAAGTGAAACACACAATCAAATCTAATTTTTGGTCCCTAAACTGACTCTGATTCCATTAATTGTTATGTTATATGCTTTAAGTTGCAAAGGAAGAGCTTTCACCCTTTGATACTTCACCTTCCCTATGTACATGGTTGGGTAAAAGTTTATACTGTATGTCCTGGCTGCTGCTGTCCTGCAATTTCCCTCATGAGATTAATAAAGTACTTCTGTCTGTTTGTCAGTCTAATCTGAATGGATTCCACTCTTATAGGAAAATAGCTTTGACGTGTTACTATTTATTATGTGCTGGTTCCATTATTTGCCTTATCCTGCTCTATTTCACTTAAATTCTCATTTTTTCACAGTGTACTTTGACCACTGTTTGCTAATTCCTTTTCTAAATATTTTCAATACTTTCAATCTTCATTTCATAATCTGCTTTTTTAAATTGTTAACATTTGTTTTGGACTTTACCTGTACAGATTTGACTGTTTTTCAACATAGAAACAGACTAATGTAGAGATTTGCTTTAGTATGTGTTCTGCCAAATGAAGTAAGGAAGAAATTGTTAGAAATGTGTACCATTACATTTCTAGTACTGGATTGGTGTTCTCCTCAAAAATGAAGTTGATGCGAGACATAGTATGACCACATGTTGTAACTCCCTTATATAAGGATTCAGGAGTTTCTCACAATTTTCAATATCTTTTCTGATATGAACAAAATGAAAGATCTGAAACTGTGTACAGTATAACCTATTGTCCCAGATTCCCCTTTTGGACAGCCTGAACTTGTTTGCCTTTTCCACGCCCCCCGAACACTGGAGCCCCTCTGTCTGTCAACCTGTCCTGATCCTCTTCCGTTTCCTCCCCTGATGTCCTTTTCCACTTTCTTCGGGATTATACCGTCTGCATAGGGTCCTGAACTACGCTTCGCGGGAGCCTGGATTGGCTCCCGTTACAAACTGTATACTTGATTATGACATGAGGAACAGACTAGATGGTAGGATCCTGACATACTGGATTTGTCAAAAACCTATCATACAGTTTTCTACGAATGCATTTGGCCACTTGGAATGGCAATTGGAACGACAACAGGATCCCTTTCAAAATGGTCAAAAATCAGCTTTTTCATTAAAAAAATATCCACCACGTGACAATTACATTTCAGGTGTGTTTAATATGTATAAATTGCATGTGTTAGGACATAGCTACAATAGAAAAATGCAAGCTTGTGACAGAAAGGAACAAGATCCTAGGCAAACTGTAATCTAGGAATAAATTGCTAATTGGTTGGCAACCAAATAAGATCTTGCACTTGTTCTTCTGCTCAAATGTGAAATGAATTTGTAACTCCATAATGAGTGCTGAAAGCATAATGGTTACTATGAAATTAAAACAGGAAGCCTTACATGCTCCAATAAATGATTACCTTGATTACCTTGTCTGGGAGCTCTGATATTTCCTAATAGTCACAAAGCACAGATTTTGTAAGAGTCATGGTCACAGTGGAACTCTCTGGACACCACATGTGCTCTCTGAAAAAATGCCCTTTTCTGTGACCTTCTTTTCTAATGACCAAAAGCAGAACTGTATCATATAGTAGCTCTTATTGTGCTTTAATTACTCATTGGTATGTGACTGCTAGCCTTTGAAGCATTACAAGATTTTAATTATCTTAAAGCAATGGCTGACATGCATGTACAATAATGCAGAAAGTGGAAACTAAAAAAAACTGATTGGGTTATTGGCAAGGAATGTTCCAATAAGCTGAGAAATGTCCTTCTAGACTAGAAAACCAGAATAAGTAGTAATAAATTTTGTTTTTTACCAGAAGAATCCACAGTTGTTTCCCAGTGCAGGTCTCCTTCTCTATCCCTGATCCACCCACATAGACCATTGTCAAAATTACAGCTTTGAAGAGCAACATCTAGAAAAAAAACAACAGAATATGGTTTCAGAAACTAGCCTGGGCTACAAGCAAGAACAATGCTTGAAAATAATTCCCAGGACGCTAGAAGCCTACACGCTAGTTCCGCTCACAAAAGACAGCTCAACAAGAAGATATAAGCAATTTTTGGGAAACTCTTGCTGTGGGATAGTTTTTGAGCATGAGAACACAGGTTTTGTGGTGGTTCATGTGAACCCGAATTGGGAGGATCGACATTAATTTTAACTTCCTTTTGAGAGTCATTCAATCCATAGGATCTGTGTTATTTGTGCAAATGTCAGTCTTGCATATCCAAACTCTACAGCATATATTTTATATCACTCAAGTCTTGTCGCACCTTCTGTCATTTTATTCGCAGGACTAGTAGAGCAAAACCTCTATATCACCAACTCTTATAATATCATAAGAACACAGGTTAATTGGAAATTAATAATTTCATGCACAGTACATGTGCCATGCTTCAAGTGTGTGAGCATACATTTTTTATTACAATAGTTGGTAAGCACAGTCTAGGAATTTTTTGACAGTTTCATTACTCATAGTGTAACTGCTGCAAACACAGTTTCACACACAATTACATTAGGTCTATTGCAAATAAATTGTAGTGATGACAGAGACAAATCATTTTGAATTAGTGCTATACCATACACCCATACTTCTTGATTATTGAACGGCATGCTTTTTTACTACAACATTCTCAACTTATTCTTTGTTAAAAAATAAAGATTCATACTATAGCGTATGTCTGCAGTGTACAAATTTCAATGGGTTTGTGATATCGACATGAATTCTTTTCCAGCTTCTTTATTCTTTCCACAAATGCATTTAACTTAACACACTTTCTTTCTTAATGTGCACCATGTTCCAGAATAAACATCAGTTTAAGAAGACTAATAATGATGATCACTTCCTACAAAGCATTACATTTATTATAAAATAATAATCATAACTAAAATCTGCAGGTTAAGTGAGAAATCTCTTGTCACCATATCCTGAAGGATTCAGCACTTCAGAGCCTGATCTAGAGGACAAAACTGGCCACACTACATACCTTCTGTTCCTTATTTATTTTTCATAGGACACAATCTACTGTAAAATTGTTTTTCTATTTTAGCTATTTCTATGAACCAAAAGAGGTTTTCTGCCTTCCTGCTGTGATATGTTCAATAGTAAGAAAATAGTACTTGAGTTTGCCTGTGTCATTTTGATAATCAGTTTACTAAATGCCAAATGAAAGACGTCAGTCTAATTTGAAAGCTTCTTTAGCTGGCAAAAAATCAAGTATATCGCAACTCAATCTCTTCCCACAAGGAGTTCCACTCTGAGTTATAACAAGGTCTTTCCAAATGAGCTGTGCCAAAACGTTTTGGATACATTCTTCAATAAACTAAAAATATGGATAGGAACAAACATAAGTATGGGAATATGGCATCAGACTTATCCAAAATGAAAAACACAAGAAACATTACAAATGCAAGGAGGCTATGGGACACATGTTGCTTGTTCATTTGCGAGGAGCTTAGTGATCTGAAAATCTCATCCAGCTCTTTCTGGAAAGACTCCAGGGAATCTGCTTCAACACTAGGGTTGAGTAGTTTGTCCTAGACACCTACAATCCTTCCTGTGTAAATTGTAAATCTAAGTTAATATCCTTTGTGTAAAGCACTGTGTCTTGTTTTCAGTATTAATGCACATCCTCTTAATCTTTGTGTACACAGATTCTAAATTACTGTAGTCCTCTGGGTTTGACATTGTCAGTGTATTTAAGGATTTTGAATAGTTGCATCAAGAACCTGGTTGTCTTCCTAGTCATAGATTACGGATTTTAATTTCCTTTAATCTGTGTAAAACATTCCTTTAAGGCCAAAAATTATCCTTAGCACACTTATATGAGCTCATTTCAGAGTAGCAATGTTCAATTTGGAATGTAATTGTCAGTCTTACTTGTACATTGCATAATATTAACATAACTTTCCTTAATTTGAATTATGCAGGAATGTTGTATTTGTGAGTACTATTAAATAAAACAATTAAGGTTTACCTGAATCATCTCCAACTTCACCATCCTCCACTGTGTAATCCAGTTCTATATCAACATTTTCCAAAACACTGTTTTCTCCTGGCTTCCGGGGAACTAAAAAATAAATATAAAAGAAAGCCATTAGTGCGATCAGGTAAAGAATGATTGTGTTCCTTAGCATATCTTCTGAGACGAAAGATCTCTCAAAGACCTTCTGCAACAAAAAAAGCGTGTTCTTTTTTATAATTCACACCAAAGGTATCTTAATCTAACACCAGATTTTCCAGAGCATGCTGCCTGACTAGGTGTTACATATCTGTATTAAAAATATAGCCTGAAAATGTAACCACAAATGACAACCTGCCAACATACAGATTCAAAAAAAAAAATGCAGACATTTTTTTCAAATAATGGAGTTGTGTCATTTTAAGCTTTCCCAAGTGAAATATACCAAACATGATGAAAGGCTGAAATGAACGCTAAGAAATGTTTGATACAAACAATGTTTGATGCAATGCATTTCATCACCGGCATTAAATACTACACCAATCTCAGAGAATGAACACTCCCATGTTCCTAAAGATGCTGTTCTTACCAAGAACAGCTAACAGCTTAATCAAAAACCAGTCAATAAAACCAGTTTTTAAGTTAAATGGCTTTCATGGGAATCCTATAATAGCAATAAAAGTTCCAAGCCTTCAAACACATTTCCATTCACTACAAAATACTTTTTAGATTAGATTTTTAAAACCTTAAAAATCCTGAATTGTGTGGATTTAATTATGACTCACTTTTGGCTTCAATAGCATCATCACCAAGGCTTGAAAAACCCTGGACTTTCCTTGATTTGGATTAAGTTAAGCAGTGGCGTCTGCCTTAAATTCACAGACCGTGAGTATACCGTATTTCTCACATTCAAGGAGCAATTATATGTAATGATGGGCTGAAATACACAAAATGAATTTCAGCACCATGTACCATGAATGACAAAATGTGCCAATAATGGGTTTACTGTCACTTTACTGGCCCAAACCTTAATAAGCAGCAAAGATTAACACAAGATGTTTTTAAAAGCCTCAAAGTCTTGTTTACTATCAATTATATCTTAATTCATGGATGCAAGGGAACTGAAGAATTTGGATTATTTAAATCCAATACTAAATCAGTCTTTTGTTCATAAAAAAAACAAGATTTGCAAAAAAGGTATCAAATATTTTCAAGAGTGCATGAAACAGAACATTGCATTTGCAACTGTCTCTCATCTAATCCTGGTCATCAAGACCAATTGCAGACCAGATCATTGGTACAGCTACAGTATATTCAGGCTTTTGCATTAAACCTGCCATCAACTGGAAGGCAGCAAAGCTTGAAACTGATATCCCATAAAGAATCAGACTTATTATTCTTGGCAGCTCAAACTGGGTTTAAATGTAGATTAATGCAAAGGAAGCAATCTTTCAAGGTCTGATGGAACATCTGAGTCTAAACAACACCTCAGTCTTTTAATGTCCTTTTTTGGTGGCTTGCTGGGCACAAGATGAAGTCATTTTCTTTTGGAATTAAGCATTTCAGCCACAAATAGGAGTATTCTATCTATATCTTGAAAGATCTGTTTGCTGAAATGAGATTCACCCTTACTAATTTAGTAGCTTATGAAAGACAGCTGAAAGCTCTAGCCAGGGGAATTGCAACTCAAGCTTCAGCTGTTTGCAATGCACATCACTTCATAAACTAAAAAATACCTTGTTCATATAAGCGGCTCCACTCGTTGGCTGCGAGAAAGAGTAATTTGCACTTCAGAAACAAGATCAAGCCTTTTGCTTTTCATAGACCTCTCACCACGCACTGCCTTGCTATGGCAACAACACGACCTAAAGTATGGCAATAGGAAATCAGTTATGTGATGACACAAAGTGGCTCCCCTCACCACTGCATCAAAGGAAAAACAGAATTCTGACCAGCTGTCTGAAGCATTTATCAGTTATAGGGTGTGCTTTTTTTTCAACACTTTGAGTTTCAAAGGTCTATGTCACTGGCCTCCTTCTACTTGTAGATTAAAGGGACTACCTCAACACAGTACTTTCTGTATCCATTCATTTTCTAACTGCTTCATCCAATACAGGGTCACAGGGGAGCTGGAGCTAATCCCAGCATGCAATGGGTGCGAGGCAGGGTTGCACCATGGGAGGACTATGGGAGGCAACCGGAGCACCAGGAGAAAATCCACAAGAACACAGGGAAAACATACAGTACTGTACCAACTCCACGCAGATAGCACCCCAGGAACTAAACCAAGTGCTGTAAGGCTCCAGTGCTAACCACTGCGCCATTGTTCCGCAATGCACAGCTTTTACACATAAATCAATTTTTTTTTATTCCTGTAAGGACTTCAGCCCCAGCAGAACAGGAGAACTCCAAGATATGAGACAAGCAGTACAAAAATGTTTTACATACAGTAGTATTTGGATTTAGTAAACCTTGAGAGCCCACACCTTGGCCGGTTGAAAGCAGGCTGGAGCCCTCTTCTGAATCATGTGGTAAGATGTTTAAAAAAGATCAGTTTAAAAATATATTATTTATATTAAAGGAGTAAGTATACATGATCATTTTAATACTGTATGTCAATACAAAGTTTCTGTTGTTTCTAATGTGTTCACAAACGCACATCTTACAACTTAAAACGTAAAACAAAAATGAATGTGGCAGTGTTTACTCAAACTAGACACTGTGCAAGTTTAATCATAAAAATCCTAGTCATAAAAATGTAATCACAAAGCATCATGTTTTTATCATAGCAAATCACAAGTGAGCATTGCCAGATTGTGGAGTGCCTCACTAAAAGTAAATGTACGCTGACTAACGCGTTAACAACAAGGTGAATACCTACACTATGAACCTTAACATGTAGGCCTTTGGTCGGTTTAATTTGACACACTGTTGACCTGTGGCTGATGGAAATATAGCACATTCAAGGATGGAATCTGCAAGCACAAGCTGAGTAAAAATGAATGGGCAACGTGCAGGCACTCAGTCAATGCCAGGCATTCAGCTGTGGAAGGAGTTAACCACGAAAGGACCTCCCGATGAGCTGAATTAGCTGAGCTGTAGTTTTGTTCCAGATTTAAGCACAAAGGTATCACTGACAGATTACTCTTGCTGCCAAGATTCCAGGGTGGGTGTCAGGTTATCAATAGGCTTGAAGACATAATGTCAGCTGTGCTTGTAGCAGCCAGCAAAAAAAAATGATTGTCTTTGTTTCTTTATCTGTAACAGCTTGGAACCTGGGGAAATCATGTCTAAGAGCTCTTGGATCAGGTGAAACATAAGTGTGAGTGTGTTTTTTTCTGACACATATTGTATACTGTACTACACTTCTTGGGGCAATGTGACTGCTAAGGCCCCTTGAGGCTCCTTTTAAAAGAAGGCTTGCTTTTTATTGTTTTGAAAACCAGGATGACATAAGTTGCGTTTTATTACTGTAAGTTTGAAACCGAATACTTTAAAAGCTTAATCCATTCTCATTATGCACTGTACGAATATTTAAGAAATAGAAATGAGTGCCTTACACTTATATAGTGATTTTCATTCCAAAGGATCCCCAAATTCCTGTATAGGAGGGGATCCACTCCATCCACTACTAAAATGTAGCCTCCATGGCTTTTTATCTATTCACTATAGAGTAACTTTTAGTGGGTCACGAATTTAGTAAGGACAGGGAAGTTAACACTTCTACTCTTGCCATGAGATCTTTAAAGGCCAGGATCTGAGTTTAACGGTATATGCAAGGGATGGCACTTTATTCAGTACAGTGCCCACTGTCGCCATTCAGGGGTATTTGACTGGAAGGTCTGGTCCAGGGAGAAAAGTATCACCTGCTGATCTGCAAACACCAATTTTGGCAGCAACCTGGTTTTGCCAAGAGGTCATGATCAGGCCTTGTCTTGCTTCACTTCTGAATAGAACACTGTACAGCCTGTGTAGAAACTTATATATTATATAAACCATAATAATTTGCTGTTATGTCTAAATAAGTATTAAGTATGAATACTGAAAGTATGAATGTGTTAGCACCAAACTATAAGACTACCAAACTAACACAAGCAAAAGACATCTGATTCCAAAGGATGACTTTCAGAAAGAGTTCTTCAAAAGAAAAGAGAAAGAGAGAAACTGGAACAAACAAGTTGAGACGAGGGGGCTAACTAAGCACAGAGCAATGAACCAAGCACTAATTTCAGCCAGGTCTGGCAAACTACAGGAACTCCCCTAGGTTTGAGTGAGGAGCACTGTCGGTGTGCGTTGGCTACAAATGAAGAAATAAATGCTAAACCCACGCTGAAAAGTATAAAGACACAGCTTCAGAAATGATTTGTCTTTTCTTTCTATTTATCAGTGTTGATTTTTTCCTCCTAATTATCCTATAGTTTAATTAATTCTGATAATTCTATCACTATATGCTCTTAACATCTTTTTCTCTGTTATTATTACATTTTTAATTCTTTACATACATTTAAGTTTGTATACTTCTGGGTGACAGTTTTACATTTAATGTTATGTGTCTTGCTCATACTGCTGTTTAAACTATGGTGAAGACTTTGCTAATTACTCGCAACCTAATTTTTCAATTAAATATAGTATCAGACTGTTCTCATGCTCTGATTATAATAATTACTTTATTTAACGAAGATAATGTTTATCAGAAGAATGTTTCTTTTTTATTCTAAAGCATCTTTCCTAAGGAAATTTACCCCACTACAGCTATGATAATAATCTACTCTCTGCAGCGCCTAAACTAAACTAAAAGAAGAGATACAGCAAGAAAGAGTTTAGATAAGAAAACAGAAGAGAGAGCACTCAGAGTACAACAGAATTAAAATGTACTGCCAATGTAAGGTCAACCCTGCTGTAGTTGTCATTTGTAAGAATTTATGGCTGGTTCTTAAAAAAAACAATAGTACTTTGTAACCATGATGTCCCACAGTTTTCATTATTCCTGTCTGGTAGTCTGGAACACGTTTTAATTCCGGATAATTATTTTTTTTCTTTTTCTTTTTACAGTTAAACACCTTTTTACAAATCAACACATCAACAATGGCTGGCAGCAGAGCAAGACTCAGGTGAGCCTACTACAACAAATTAGCGTGTGTACGCTGGCAACCGCAACAGATGGCACAGGCCCAATGCCACCCACTGTCTCCATGTACACCCTCCCCCAGATCAGCATACCTACTCAGAACGGGAGAACAATTTTGTTCTCACTTGCAAGTGAATTAAGAAACCCAATACGGATAAAGAGTTCTTACAGACCCCTACCACTCCTATAATTAACTCCAGCTATAGCTGAGATAAAACGGGGTGCATGGTGTACTTTGGCAAGCAGCTGCAAATAGACGCACACACACTGCAATGTGAGGCATGAAGCCGGTTGGCACCGAGTCAGTCGAGCATTTCTAAGCCGCGCTCGCTTGCATGAGAGGTCCGTGTGGTCAAACCACTGCAGAACTGTACAGTCTGACAAGTTCCAAAGCAGTGTTAAAAAAGGGGCGCTAACTACATCCTTCAGTATTACACGTGCGAAGAAAAGAACAGCTGATGACAAAAAATAACCATTATTGATTGCCAAAGACTGTCTCAGGACACACTTCATTACCTCCAAAACTTTAAAAATACGATGCAGCCAACAGGTTCAGGTGTTTTCTGAACTTTGGAACATCCTTCTATACTGAATCCCTGTTTATCTGTGCCAGGATCATACTTTCAAATACTGTAGTAGCACATTTTTTGGCACCTTAGGTCTTTTTCTCATCTAACACCTGCCAGAATACTACTTTTTTTTCTAAAACAGCAATACCCTCTGCAGACTGATTGTAAAACATGCAAAAAAAATATGTAGACATAGAGTCTCAAACTGCGAACCTCTTGTAGTGAGATATAAGTCCAGACTGAAATAATAAATAGATGCATGATATGTGTGTCTAGGCAATTTTGAATTTCTTATAAACCTGTTCTTACTTTTTCTCCAGTTATCCTTTAGGAAAACATGTCTCTTCATTCTAATTACCTGTACGTTACTTTAATACATTTTTTGTGTTTAATCTGTGAAAAGACACCACCATTCCCAACAAGGGTACAGTATTCAGGTGACTCTCAACGCAGCCAACTTTTACTTCAATTTGGACCAGAAGTCAATGTGAGAAAGTGGATATGCCAGAATGATGTGAGAAAATAATTTCACTGTAGGAAGACAAGTGGAATTTGTTTTAACACACAGATAACTGCCCTCTCAAGATAAACTGGTGGTGACCTGTGCAGAGCTCAGGCTACGCTCAAGAGAAAACAGAGTACTTCCTTTCCCACGAAAGTATGCTTTACGTTAAGTTACATATTGACACAGCAGGCTGTGCTCTTCATAAGTATACAGACGCCAATAACTCAGTAAACCACATGCACAGTTTGCTAACAAAGAAAATGTAATAAAACCAAACAATAACACCCATCGTCTGTACTCCCACAACAGACTTCCTGATTCGAGAGGGATGAGACTGAGCTTTTTGTGCACTGCCAGGCCACCAATCTTGGAAGAGTGGTCATTTCTTTTATTATTGAAAGCTAAGAAGAGAGGTTTCATGGTCTTACTGTGGACATCCCCCCTTTGCTTCTGGGTCACTTCCTTTTGGATCCTGTTGTCCACAGTGGTGACCACTGAAACCGTGGTGACGGGGGGCTGGCGTGTGGTGGGGGACTTTGCTTCTCTCTGGGTGGTTGGGGCCGGAGCAGGGGTTGTTCTCTTTGGAACCACAGCGGTGGTTGAAGACTTAGTTGTAGGAGACGTAGTAGTAGTGGCTGTTTTCCTTGGCGTGACTGGGGTACGGATGGTGGTGGTTGTCCTCTTACGATCTGAATCTGGAATCTTATTGGGATTGCTGTTGCCAGGCTGGGGAGGCTCAATGATGACTTTGGGTATAGCTGGAAATGAAGAACAGGGTCGTCATTTTTGCCGATAAACACTCACCCCTCCAAAACAATGGCGGTACCAAAGTCAGTGCTGTTATTTGTTGGCTTTGGAGTCGAGCAAATTGTATTTGAGAACATGAGATTAATAAGAACAAAAAGTACAATATTTTGGGTAATTCCATGCATATATTTGATAACGTTAAAAACATGTGCAGTGTTAAAGCCAGTGATTTCAAGAGATTGTAAGTGTTTGGTCACAATCATTTTTTTAAATATTTCTCATATTTAGTGAATATCTCAATGAAAGGTGACATAGTTCTTTATTTGCTCCTAATAACTGTATACTGTTATTACAGTACAGTATGTATAAAATGTAATTCTGTGGTCTGTTAGGAATGTGAATTAATGTAATTAACAAAACATTTCCATACACTAACCTACATCATTTCTTACAGTAAAAGATAAAACATTATAAAACAATATAAAAACTTTCTGCTGCAGAAGAACTACGCTACCCTTTAGCTGTGTCAAAATCTTTAAAAGTCTGTCAAGTTAGTGTAACCAGATATTGTCCCTCAAGACAAAACTAACTCTGACATGACAAGAAACAGGATTTCTATTTAGGATTTATTTCTGGTAAAATGCTAAGCTTCTTTCAGTACGATTTCAAGCACTTGAAAGACATTAGTATAATGGCTGATAATCTTCAATTCTAGGTTAAAATCATTTATTCGACAATGCAATACGATGAATAAAGATATTTAATAATTTTGTAACTATGTAGCAGGAAGGAGTGATGTGACGCTGCCCCTAACAATTATCGTCATTGACTAGGATGAGAGTAGGTCATGTGTCTGTGTGAGAATAACTAGAAATAAACAGAAAAGATGAGTTTGTCTTAGGCCAACACATGAATGTAAAGTATTATTTATTCATTGGCAAATTGTTTGCATTTATCACTTTTCGTATGACTGATTTTGTTTTGCTAAATGAATCCTAATTTGGCATCCTGCCCAATCCACACTTGAGTTGTACAAATGAAGAGCTGGTATCTCTAGAAACTGTTCTGAATTGTAGCGTGTAACATCCTCAGACTTACGTTTACAGTCATAGCCCATTCCCCGAAAACCATCCTTGCACTTGCATTTGTAGGAGCCAGGGGTGTTGTAGCAGGTGGAGAAGCTGCCGCACTGGTGCTGTGAAGTGGTGCACTCATTCACATCTGAAAGGAGAGAGGAGGCAGGCAGAGTGGTGAGGACCCTACTACACTCAAAGCAGCTTCAACCACGCTAGGTGCTTGTTAAGCTAATTGGCCACTTATAAGCAGAGAGTATTCCAGAAGAGGTAGGCCCAAGGTCAATGGCTGTTTTGTCCTCACAGCAGGAAAAAAACCAACAGCTGAGTCTATAGTGTATCTGCTTCTAAAGGCTAATAAATACACAGTCCAGAGAGCACCCAACACAACTAGTTTTTACTAAGATTCCCTTTTCTTTTAGAATTACTAATAAACACTTCAGAAAGTCTTCATTCATTTCTTAAATACATGTCCAATTTTGTCTACTGCAGCAGGGCTTCAGCATAAACTCTAATGTGGGTGTAATATGAATTTCATAGCAACAAAGGAAGCTCTGAAAATTGTAAAAAGCAAAATGACAGTGATAATGTCAATGATGAAGTATAAGGTCAAACCTATTGGTGTCAGGAACTGACACCCTGTTTGTAGCTTTTTGAGGTGTTTATACTGTACATATACAGTATACAAAACCTCAGCTTGGCATTTTCTTTTGGAATTGCCATCTGCTTTTAGGATTCAGCTCTCTAACAACTACTTTTGCACCACTCAGAAGAGAATGAGACACGTGTACATGCTCTAAGATATCTCTGCCTGTGGGGCCATTTGTTAGTTCACACACTGAAAGTTCTACCGCCCCTGACAGGAGAGCTGCAAAAAAGTGGAGAGAGCCCTGGCAGAAGAATCCCAACCTTTCTCCTGTGGTGCTTAACCAACCATGTTGCAGCATTTGACAGTATCCCGATCATGGCTCATTACTGATGTGGCCAGGGATTTTATTTTCTGAAATTACTTTATTCCCGATTTCCAGGACAATTCAGTGTAATGTGAAGTGAACTGTCCAAATAAGGAATAGCAGCTATTGGCATAAATCTTGTCTTGAATCCACTGATGCCCCTGATTCTAGGACATCCTCATTAAATGGCTTTTTGCCAGATATTTCCTATTGGACACAGTCACTACTTGTTTCCTAAAGGAACTCTACCCTGAGGATAAAATGAAGGAATGTAGTTTCCACTGGTTCTTTAAAATTCAACAAAATGAGACAGGCCTCAAACACATACGGCTGTCTATATTTTAAGACAAACCTGACACTTAAAAATATGTTTATAGGCACCCCCCCAAAAAAACAAACAAACACATTCTGCAGTTTTATACCTATTAAAAAAATCAAAAGCAAAAACAATATGTAAATTTTGACAGAGGGAAGAATTGAGAGAAGGTAGGAGAGACTGAATAAATGCATTATTGCTTCAGGTAGAAGTATGAAAGCTGAAATGTTCATATACGGTATTATTAAGTACTAATAATACATAACAACTATGTTGTTACAACTGTTATGACTAAGTAACACCTATTTCCTTGTTACTTATAGAATATTTCCTTCATTTTGGATATAGTTCTATCTTAATACCTTAGGAACAAAGTGGGTGGACACCGAAATCAGACTCAACAGAAAAGTGGCCTGTAAATAATATTAGTAAGGCAACACATTTCACAAAACAAACTCAGTAAAATCACTCAATCTTATACTCTCGGTTACCTAGGCATTGGTATTTTCCATTGATGTATTTCAGGTCAAATCCTTCATGGCATTTGCAAATGTAGCTTCCAAAGGTGTTTATGCACTTCCGGAACCTTGGACACACTGCCCTTCCGCTAGAACATTCGTCTACGTCTAAAACAAAAATAAAAATGTGTTTTCATTCCTGTATCACATCACTGGTGCTCTTACCATCTCAGAATTCCACCTAGGAAATGTCTTCTTTGGATTCAAAGTGGTTATATAACACCCAGTGTTGTTCAGAAGAAACAGACTAGTTACTATTGCTTTTCTTTGTGCACAACACACTCCCACAATATCACAGCTACCACAAATAAATTGTTCCTAAATATCTTGAATTTAAAAAGTTCAGTCCAGAAATGGGGAGGAAGTTAATTCACTAACGTTTTTTCTTGGGCAGTAGTGCATAGTGTCTTTTCTGTTACCAATAGCACTGGCTGTTATGTGACCATTTAAAACTCATTTCTGGCTGGATCAGAGTGATTATTCACTCCCATTTACCAAACGTCAAGATGGATATTCTATAGCCTGAATGGCTTATAACAGCAAAACATTCTTGTGTTTTCAAAACCAATCAAAACCTTGGAAGATATATGACATTTAATGTTTATTTGTTTCCATAATAACTGAGTCAAGTTTTTGAAAGACTTTCACCCACCTTTTGAGTTTCAATATTCAGTTTTATAATTATTTTTTAAATGGAAACATCTTTATTGTGCTTGCCAGGATAGGCTCTGGCTACCCCCTTGACTCTGAATTGGAAGAAGTGGTTAGAAAATGGATGGATAGATTTTTTTGGGATCAAACTATAATGTACAGCATCCATACCAGAATGAATATAATACACAGCACAGACACACCTGTACTGTCAAAGAATATTACCAGTACAGGAAATGCACGTTAAATCAACTGCAAATGTCAACCATAAGGTTTCTGCCTTGTACACATTATGCCAATACAAGGAGTGTCTTGAAGAGGCAGAAAGCTTGAGAGAATCTGTTGTGACATCATCCATCAAACTAACCAGAAAAACCAAGTCTCATATCGCCTTATTTAGAAACGTAAGCTGTAATTCTGAGACACATACTTTGTTTTTCACTAAACCTAAATTAATCTATTGCTAAAGTTACATTAATTTATTATCATAATTGTAATTAAATAAAGAGTTGTTATTTTAAAGTCATTTGAAGGTAAATGGGACACATACTAAAAGGCAACCACCATGTTGCACATTATGTCATAATTGTTACATTTAATAAAGTTTTTTTTATTTAGGCCCTTTTTATTTTTAGTCTAACTTTGTCAAAATGCCTTTATTATTACTAGAAAAAGTTACTCAGTGTTTTTTTTTAACTGTGAGACTTAAATACTGATGAAAGACAGCTGTTCCTGCAATCTTACAGCTGAAATGCAATCAAGACCAAAAGAAAATGAATTTCAGAAAAGAAAAGCTTGTTTCATCCTGTATCGTTTTTGCCTTAAGACAAAGTGTCAGAAGTGGTTAACATACAAAATCTCGAAATGAAAAGTCAGTGTAGCATTCAGCAATGATCTGGACAGAATTGGCACCCCATTATATCCAGGACTGCACTGAACCTTTCCTAATTCTTTACTGCCTTTTCCTTCCTCCATTTCCCAGAGTTCACTTGCTTTTTCTTAGCCTGCAGCTTATTGCTTTGGAAATTATCGAAACCTGACTGCGGTCTCCAAAGAACTTCAACAGTAAAATGACATATATAACAAAAGCTTTCTTCCCCGGGGCTTTATTTATGCAGAGTAATTTTCATGTCTCGGGTCAGCTTCAGAAGTAGTAATCCAACTAACAGTCAAGGACAAAGATTAATGCTCATTTGTCAAAGTGGTTAAAAATGGCACCGACCAAGGCATGGATTTGACCATAACATACAGTAGCAAGGTTCAACTACTGTAATTTGTCCCATTCTGTTTTCCATTTATTGGTTGTTAATATTAGAGGCTAGAAACTTCCCACTAGAGGCGTTCTAACAAAGAGGAACTGAAAAAAAGTTAAAATTTTCTTCCCTTCACAGTGACATTAAAACACATGGATTTCCTTAAAAGGGAAATTCTATCCACGTATATCTGACCCGATAACCATGTTAATGCTTAAAGCAGATATACAGTATCAATATGTTGCTAAAATGTTCTATTTTGGCTTAAAACGAAGTTGGCATTTTTTATAAATAACTTGTTTGCTGTTGGTACGACTAAGGAATCATTTATTTTCCTCAACAATTGCTAAGAAGAGGCTTAAGTTTGAAAACTTAAAAATAAAGTTAAAAAAGTACAGTAAAGTAGTAGAAGTAGACACTGATATTTCAAAACACAGCCAGGGAAAATAAATGCCAATTGGTAACAGTAGATTCTTCACTATTAATAGAAAACCCAGACAATTATTAATTGACTAAATAAACTGATACCCTATTGCGATAAATGGGCATCTCCTGTCATAGCTGTTTCTTATATTCTTGGGGTTTCTAACCGCACTTACCTATACAGGTCCTGCCATCGGGCCCCAGCTGTAGCCCTGGAGATGGGCAGCGACATCTGACCTCTCCTTTCACCACATCGCAGCCGTACTGGCAATTTGCCATGGCACAGGAATGGGCGTCTGCGCAAGAAGGTATGAAATAAGTTCACAGTATCTCCACATATTATGCTCCAGGCTACTTTAGCGGCAGGCTCCAAAACAAATTATTCATCTGCTATACTGATTAACAACTGTGACCCACATTGAACAAATCACGTGTTTTAGCACAGTAAGGTTCAACTGCTTATTCATAAACGTATATAAACGTAGGTATTATGTGCAACTGGTAATAAACATTGTAAACCAATCACTATCTTATAGTTGTGATATTTGACCATTGTTATTTATCTGAAAGTGTTTCTGACTTTCAAAATCAATTTGTTAAGGAGTAGTGTGCTAAAAGATATAGTCATCTGGAAATACGATTACCAAACAGTTTACTGTTTAATACATTAGAGGACCCACTAATAATATTAAACAGTAATATTGAATCACTAAATGTTTATTAAGATTGATGGATAATAGCATAATCCCAATATAAAACTCTGCAGCATGTGTATGTTTTCATTACACTTTGTCAGACTCATGTCTGATAAACGTTTTCAGCTTAGGTTTGGAAATATTGTGGCAATAAATAATAATCAGGGGACACCACTGGAATTCTTGTCTAAAGTTGATGTTTCCCGTCCTGTTTTACACAACAACACACTACTGGGGCGAAATGTATCATCCATGAGCGGATGACAAAAAGATGGAATTATTTTTAAAAAATAGGAACTCCATAGGAAAGCAAGAATTGCAGCATGACTGCTGTTAAACCTAATGCTTGAGAAGGGGCAATAAAATATAAGTGTTTTATTTAAGTTCATAAAAGATATTCCTGGCTGCTGAAGTGCTGTATTTGTTGGGAATTAACACCCATATCTTTCTTCCACATGGACAGGTGCTAATGTGTTGATCAGGAAACACCAAGGCAACAGTGGCATCAACCCAAGGACTGTAGGGGACTTTTTCCAGCGCATGCTACAGGAAGACAGAAACATGGATCTGCCTCGTCATCCAGCTTGCAAAAGACATCCAACGATTCATTTAGAGGTTGATTCAAGGAATGTCTCAATTAATGCCCTTTTTTTTTAAAGGAGCCATGTGTTTGTTTGATCTAGGCCTCTGTGTGTGACTGCAGTAAGGGATATCCAAGCTCTGATCTTGGTGAGGAAAGGTACAGTTGAAAACATGTACATTATGAATCTAAACAGGATTCTAACACCTCACATTGAATTCTTAAAAACAATATTGACAGTGTAGTTTTGCATTACTAGGTTTTTTACAATACAGTAGCTATTAAGTTACCTTTGCAATTTAATTTGAACATTTCATTTCTCAAATGATGTAATGGTTCATGACCTTAAGCATAATATCATGTTTGTTTGTGCAGGGAAATATTATTTATGTATTTATAATTATTTATTACTTATAATATATATTATTTTAATAACTGGCCTATTGTACTTGGACCTCCTTAAAATACTTTTTGAGGGGTGAAATTTGTTAAAAAAACAGATTTCATTTTTTGTCACAATCACAATCAGTGTCTTTTCCGGCCAGGAACGATACTGGGGCTTAAAGCAATTGAAACCAACAATTGTTTTCTGGGCATCTGTAAGCTTTTGAATACTTGGGGAAGACCATTAAATCACTATTATTTGGTCAAATATTTCTTTAGAAGATACATTTTATCCTAAAATGTGGTCCATCAGATTGGGACTCAACAAGCAGTTCCTGACAGGAAGCAGGCAGATGACTCACTTCCACATGTCCCATCAGGCATCAGCATGTACCCGTTCAGGCAGTAGCATTTGTAACTTCCATAGGTGTTCATACACCTGTGCTTGCAAGGCCTTGGCTTCAGTCCGCATTCGTTGAGATCTACAGATAAATGGCACATAGGTTAGGGCTCTAGAGCAACAGAAAAATGCTACAGGCTTCACAAACATCAGTCAAAGTTCAGAGGTCAGCTCTGACAGCTCATCCAGCCCTGTCCATCTGTTACCAATGGTTGTCAAAATGGGAGTGATAGGTCTTCAGTAAAATGCTTGGGGCATTGTGAGACAGTGTGTTAGGACAAGCCTGCAACACGTATTTAAAAAATGTGTTTTTTTTACTTGGAAATGAGGATATCCCTTCCTTTTGACCTCCTTTCCAATAAAGAGATATATTACTCTACCTTGACTGCCTTCCTGTATATTTCCGAAGTAACCTTTAACACAGGAAATGTCACTCTGCTTAGTAACAAATGGTTGGGGGCTTTGATACATTTTCAATACTTCCCTCAAATATTTATTAGCTTTTTAAACGTGCAAAAATTGCATTTGTTCACCAGGTTAAATACCTGAAAATGCTTAATCGCCACCCAAAATCTCTTTGAAAAACAAAAGTGGAGTTTTATAGAATTTCATGAATTTACACAATTTTACCTATTTTGACATTTTAAAGGCAGAGTGCAATGTGATATTTATGATGCCGGTGATACATGGGTTTATCTGGGGCTTCCTGAGGTCTCAGGAAAGTTTTTACTAGCATGGGAGTGATGCTTCTTGAACTCAGGATAAGGGTTTCCATTGATGTTTGTTGGAAAGAGTGCCTCTTCGGCACACTGAGACCACCAAAGTACTAAAAGAAATGTTCAGCTCTTGGATACTGGCCAACCTGAGGGTCGGGAGTGGTGACATGATCTAATAATAAAATAACAACTATATAAGTTGAGCGGCTGGTTTCTAGGCCAAGCGCTTAGCATGTTTCAGCAGAGTAATTAGGCCTCAATGAAAATAGATCTTGCTTACTGTATACGTGCTGCTGCTGTGCATCCCACTTCGATGCAAAATGTGCCATGTTTAGCTCAAGAAAAATGTCTGGAATGCATGCTTTAATGCGGCATGTGGTCTATATTTGACAGATGAAGTTGGTTTAAGTGGAACAGTAGCTTCAGTAATATTCCATTACTTCTTTTCATTAATGTTGATTGGCCAGTTCAGGGTTTTTTGGTTTAAGATTAAATCATAGAATCAAACTGGGCATAAGATAGCAAGCTGTATTCAATGTTGCCTGGATGTAGTTTATCCTCTTTCGATATTCATATCCAGCTTTTTATCATACTTTTGCAGCAATTTTTTTACTGGCATTTTCAACAAAACACCTTGTAAAATACTTACGAATTATTTTGTACAAATCATGAACAACAACAAAAAAGAATAAACAGATCATTAAAAACAGTTGCTAATTGTCATCTTTCATGTCTATCAATTACATATATAAATTATTTTTTTTATGTAATGAAGTTGAGATTCCCACTTTAGGTTTGTAGTAAATTTAACAATACGTGTTTTTAAAGAATATTTTAGGGCCAAGACTTAACTGCAATAATGTGGTTATGAAAAGAATAAGCAAATAATGTAAAAAACAAATTAATTCTGGGTCACAGGCAAAAAATATGGAAGGTTATTGTTGTAATCATATTGATCCAAAAATATATTTTTCTTCCACTGTTTTGGTAGTGAGAGCTATAATAAAACACAATATTACATGCAGAACTTCACGTAGCCAATTTCTTCTGGATGATTAAGAAATCACTGAGGTCCCACACTTTCATTAAAACTACACAAATTGGTTGTGCCATGATATTAAAACCTTCTTTTGAGTTTGACCAAGTACTGGCAAATTAAGCTTCATATGGAAAACAGATGGAATATGGGATAATAAGTTCATGCATCAAGCTTTCTTTCACATGTGGTTTCACTCATCTGATCTACGAAGAAATCTGACATGTTGATAACATAAAAGCATATTTGACTTTTCGATAGCATGATCCTGTTTCCTGCTCATTCTACTGCATTGCTTAAGACTCTGTGACATTTCCCAGTGGCCCTGGAAATGTATCAGCACGTGGAACAGGAGCTGATGCCGAAAGACACACGTCAACAGTCAACAGTCCCATACAGTCTGTTGATGAAAACTCAAGATACCCTACGGGTTGGTTTCCCAGTATCCCCCTTCCCCGTTCTTCACATGCAGGATTTTCTATTTACATTTATTCACTAAGCCAAGATTCTGTGTTACAGTAAATCCCAAGACAGACACTGTTTACCTTTAGCGTTTCAGCTCAGATCACATGACTCACAGATTTGTTCTGTCTGGGAAAAGATTATCGGCACATCCGATCTTTTCATTTCTTTGGGGGTGGGCTTAAATTTAAAAGAAAAAAAGTACCTGCCCCAAATTTAAAATCGTTCCAGTAATGATTACAATAGGTTAATGTTTCTCAGAAGAAAATGCCATTGTGATATTTTCCTCTACGGTAATTTGTGGAACTGCTGGATACTTTATTTCTCTTTTCACTGCTATAGCATTAGCAATCATCCACCATTCTGCTGCATTTTGAGCCCAACTGTCCCTTCAGCAGAGTTAGCATCAGCTGGAAGAGTGATGCAGCTCTTATTGACAAAACTGTAAATTCACAAATGTAAAATACGTATCCATTGTCTACTACGTTTTGATGAATCCTGGTTTTAATCAGCTAATGACAAATCCCAGACTGAATCCTGCATTGCCTGGTAAATACAGTAGACTCCGCACCTGTAGTGTTGAACCTATCCAGAAGATGTAGAATTTCAGAATCCCTTGTTTGGAAGAATGCATTAGGTTGCACAGAAGATGACAGACATCAGGGGTAAGACATATTTTGAAGCACATTTTTGTGCATTTGTTTTGGTTTGGTTTTGTACAGTTTTACCCCAGTAACTCACTTACTGCTCCCACTGACAGTTCTGATGTTTTTGATAGTCTAGCAAAAATAGACGTTCTATAAACATTTACGACATACTTAGGGCCAATTCTATTTCCATTTGAAAAAAAAAAGCATTAATTTCCCAGTCTTGTAAGTATCAGTGAAGGTTCCTGTATCAAGTTATGCAACAAAGTTACTTATTTTAATTATGAAAATTAAACCTTCACTGCTCTACCATTTAACTGCTTCACATTTTTAATTTTTTTGCAAGGTTTTAAAAAGTATTCTTCAGTATAATGTTTTGAGATTAATAATAATCCAAATAATTTATCTGATTTATTTCCCAAAAGTGACTAACAGGTAAAAATATAAATCTCTCTAATAGAACCTCATAAACTGTTGGATTAACTGAGAAAGCATTGCAATGAACTGCATTAGTAACAGGAGCAGTGATGCCAATACAAATACATTATACACATAACAAATATAAAAAAGGGCAAATTGAAATGTAACACTGAAGCATAAAGAAGAATAATGGACCAAAATGACACAGCCTTTCATGAATAGCAAGCAGATTACTGTAGGTTCCCCAAAATCTGTCTATAAATCAAGCTGAGACTACGGAATGCTACCTGTGAAAATGCAACGAGCACCTGTAAAGAGAGAGACAACCAAAGCTTATGTAAAAGCAGAATATGACAAATGATCTCTTAGGATTATGTGCAATGAGTGCAGCTCTCCCTGCCCTTGCTGGGGCCTGATCCCGATTGTTTGTGGGTCCTGAGCAGGCACAGCGCCACTCCCTAGACAGTGGATAACTCTGCCACATCAAAAGCTCAGGTCTTTTGCCACAGGAGGGCTCTACACTGCCCGAATTTCCGAAGTTGGTGATGTCACTTCTGTAACTCGCTCAGCTGTTATGTGGAGAAAACATCCAATTTTTTTAAAGACAATAGACACATCCAGACACAATGCATGATTCCATGTGTATATACTTTCATCATTTGTTGATGCTATAAAAGAAGAGAAAAATAACTGAACGTCAAGACCAAGATTGTTGTTAACCCGTGACTTTCTATAAAACAAAAGGAAAACAGTTTATTTTCAGCGTTGTCCTCATGAAGCAGGCATTGAGCGATAGCACATGCTAATTATAGCAAGAACTCTGTTCTGAAGAGGATAAAGGGAGCGAGATTGTGAAATAGAGATAAAAAAGAGATAGAACACAAGATTTTTTTCTATTGCTTGGCAGCACATACAACACACTGGAGGTAGAGAGCCTACTTCAGAAAATTTCTGTGAATTAAATGTTGAAAAAGAATTACATGTCAAGATAAGGGGCCGATTTCTGGTGTGATAATTTTAGAATGTGGCTGGGTTCTGACAGGATGGCTAGCTTGTGAAGACAAATTAAAGTGTTGGTCTTGGTGTAGGTCCTACTATTGGTCAAGCATTTAACTCAGTCCAAAGCTGTAATTAATTCATTCTTTAGCTTTCCCTCATGGATGAGGATGATTGTGTTCCATAAACCTGGAGGTGACTGATAAAGCCAATCCAGGATCCAGACGCTTGGTGGATAGAGCAGGTGTTGTCCCAGGAGATATGGGTACTGTGCAATTTGATCATGGTGAGCATCCGTGCTTCGTTTCCACAGTCTGATGTTGTCCCAGACACTCTTCCTCCATTTGTGTTCAGTCAATGGCCATAATCCCCCAGGAGGCTATATTAATGTTGTGATGTTATTGAACTAGAGGAACCAGTTCCTAACAATTTGGACTGAAATCACTCACTTTTATTCAGGGAATCTCTTCATATTATCTGAAAACCACTAACTTAATTGTGTTATTTTAGCTGCCCTAGCCACCATCATTTGTTGTATATCTTATAGTTTAGTGCTTCCCACTAAACAGGTACTGTAACAGCGCCCTGAAGGTTGTGGAGGCTCAGAGGAAAACTAAATATTTTAACTGGACGGGTAAAATAAATTGTGAGACCGCAAACTGGGGCAGCACAAAGACAAAGTGGTTACTGCTGTCTCAGTTTTTTTCCTGGCTTGATTCTAGACTAGGCCCCTTCTGTGTGGGATTTGTACTGTATGTTCTCTGCAAATGTACACAGTGTATGTTCTCTGTGTCCTCTGGTTTGGGCTCTGTTCTTTGGGGACAGGCTCTGGGTTCTGGGGGTCTTTCTGATTTTGCCTGGATGGACAGCAAATTGACATAAATCTCTCTTGAAAATATACAGCTCAAAGCTATTTATTTAAGAATGAGATGTTTTTTTTTCCTGCTGATTACAGAATACAGAATCAATACAGAAATTTCTTAATTCCCTTGGCTACCTCTCTTCTCCTTCCTATTCACAGCTTTTTTCCAACAGCCTCACACGATCCAGGTGATACGCAGAAAGGAGGCTACAGTTTGGGCAATTTTATTTAATTAATTCATTTATTATTTATTAAAATGCAAAGTAAACTAAGAAACCGAAGTCCATAAGGAGGCATTTTCTGCTGGCCCTAAAGCAAAGAGGCAGGAAAAATATCTAACAGCACAGCGGCCTTTCCTTGTGTTTTTTGTAAAGAGAACAAGAAGGTGAGACCAAACAGATGAAGGAGAGTGAAGGGAAAGGAAAAATGAGCAAGAGAGGAATGACCTAACAAGCTCAAGGAGGCCTCTAAGGGCTCAGGCAGCACCAAGGATCTGTGTGATCTCATGCTTGGCTTCGACATGTCATTACGGGCTGCCAGCAAGGTCCTTTCAGGCAGGCAATGCTCCACATCTGGAACAGGAGACAGGCAAACAGCCCCACTGCGAGTGAGCCATGCAGAGAGGGGCCTCAGCACTGATGGACTTGCTCACCCAATGGAGGTACACCTGCAGGCTGGAGGTCCGGGGGGAGAAAGATAGGAGGGTGACTGTCCCAAATTGGGGGGGTTACATATTCCTGCTCATCTTCGCAAGAGCCGGGGGGGGGGGGGGGAGAAAACAGCAAACAGATATGTAGTGAATAGAAGATCTGTTTCTTGTTTTGATAGATTTACCAACCATTTCCTGGAAAATGAAAAACAGTCATCATTTAGGGAAAAGATTAAGAACATGTTTATCTGACTCTTGTCCCCATCATATTTCTCTTCAAGCAAATATTATGTTTGTGCTTGGATAATTCCAGCTCATGTTTTCATGTTTGAACAATCATTCATATCAAAGCATGTAGTAGGCAACCATTTACTGTCCTCTATCTAGACTGCATTCAGAACACTGCTTTACTGTAACACTGCCAAATGCTCAGATTTAGTTTGTCACACAGCATGTCATTAGATAGACATTTTAGCAGGGACAGGGAAAACCATCTACAGCATATTAACTTTTATTATCTATAGTCTATAATCGTAAACTTTAATGTAGTTTGGAATTTTAGAAAGTTTAACTCACATATGTTTCTTCATAGAAAGAATCAACTCAATAGAAAGTCAATTAACCAATGCAAGAATAATCTCTGAACAACAATAAAATTCATGTTTTAATGGGTTTATCTGATCTGGAATACCTCTTTTGAATCTATAATTGTGCCACAAAAGATTGATTAAAAATATTATGATATTAAATCTTAAAGAAGCAAATTTCGATGAATTTATGTAAAAAATTGGGTATAAAGGAGGTTTTCTTTCAGGTATTTCTTCTGTGAAGGTCTGCTATTATCTCTTAAATCCTCTCCAGTGAATGATGATATTTTCTACCTATTCTGATATAAAAACAACAGGCTGCAGCAGACTGCAAAAGAAACAGCTTTCTGTGGACCATGGATCCTGATTTGACTACAGTAAATGATTCTGTTAACAATACAGTACTGTGTATGGGTTTTTGAGAAGTTTTCTTTTAGAGTATCTATGAAAAAATAAATTGAAACTACTCAGGAACTGCTCAGTATATGTCTGCTGATGCAGCAATAACAAATTTTAGCATTTCTGTGCACTAGCCGTACAGTATTAATGATACATTTAATTCTGTATTTCACATGAATAATTGGATAAATTATGACTCACTGCCTAGGAAAGTTACATTGCAGTGCAAGATAGGCAATTAAATTGTGTTGTTAATGCACCGAAAAACCAGTTTAAAAGATAATTAGTCAATTAAAATGTTTTATAGGGTGGGGGGTGTTCCCAGTATGACCAATACCGACTGTGACCAAAATGAAACCAAATGAGTTGAATGGCCTCCTCTCATCTGTACTGATTATGATGTTCTTAAGAACTTAATTTAAAATACAAAAACGTCATTGAACTGCATGTACCCAGTCCATTTTTAAATGGTTATTAATACATTGATATTTTAGTTAAAGAAACATAATTACTTTTTAAACACAAGATGTACAATCATCTTAAGCTGGCACTGTTAAACATCTCTTTTAACATATGTATTTCACTTAATTTCTCAAGCTTAGAACTTTTAATATTTATAACTTTAGTATGTATATATCTATAATATTATATAGATAATATTTAATATGTATTATATATAATACTTTCATATGTCATTATCTGTATGTTTGTCTTTCCACCTAAACACATTTACACTTTCGGTACTATTTCAGTGATATGAAAGATGGAACATAGATTTGGAGGAAATTGATCTCCTAGAAACTAGAATTTAGTTTAAAAATAGGGAAATTCCCACTATTGCTAACAGATTTAAATAGTGAATGATTAAATTTTAAACTGATTAAAATTTAATTGTAACTTTACTATTATGGCTTCAAAAGGTTATGTCTCTTAGTGAGGTAGAAAAAAGCCTTACTAAGAAACTTCAAATACAAAAGATTGCTCTTAGAAAAAACTCAACTCAAGTGCATAAATCAGAGGTTTACATATGATGTGAACCAAAATTTTAACTGATGTTCAATTTTATGTTGTAGTAATCTACAGGTGCTGCAGAATTCAATGTACCCATCTTTTAGCAAAGGTTTCAGTACCTTATCAGAAGATGTGTGCTTGTCTGGGTGTTAACAGGTTGCTATAATGCTTTGCAAACTTTTGTTATTTTGAGAGATATATAGTATATCTTTTTCTTACAACTCAGCCATGAAATCTTTCCTTGTACCTGTCTTTCTCTAGAGTCAGGCTAGTCACATCTACTCAGTTTGCCTTTTTATCTTTCTCACCTGTTGAAGAGGCTGTGGTATGCATGTCCGTCATTGATTCCTAATAGCCAGACAACCATTGGTGTTGTATTTCTGTTGTCTTTCATTCGTTTTTTTAAGTCTCATTATTGTGATTTAAATTGTGATCACCTGAAACACAGCTTTCTCAATTTATTACCTCTGTTATTACTTCTGTTGACAGATTATGAAAGGAATTCATTTGATCATTTAATATGAGCATGTTATGAGCATTTAAAGCATTTTAAATTTAAGTACTGTATCCGTTTAGTGTTCTTTCGATACCTTCCCCACCTCCAGCTCAATTTGGAATCTGCTATTCACTGTAACTTGGGTTGATAAAGCTCTCATATCAGCAGAACATGTGTGCCTTCCTCTGAGATATACTGTATATGGTTTAGTGAACATCCTTTTCCACACTGTGAGTCTTATAGCCTCATATTGCGAAGTCAATATTGACTGGGGAGTCGTGTGGTACAATACTTACTAATGGCACTGCAAGTTTACAAGTACCTTGGAAGGTCACAGGGTCTTCAGGATTTAATTCAACCAAGCCCTGAATGATTTAATTGGATCAGTCCGTTGCCTAATTGGGAGACATTAGCATGCTTTAAAGACCTCTGATCATTCACCACTTCCTACAAAGCCTTCAAGAATGAGGCTCTTCAGGACTGGAGATGTAGACCCCTTTCCCTAGGCAACTCAAACCTAACCAGCCCTGGTCAATTCTGTCCCACTGTTTAGCCATAGCTGCCTAATGAAAGAACCCAGACTTGAGCTCCTAACATCAGGAATTAAGGGTTCAACTAGTGCTCTGAATAATAGGAATAATGGGAATAATCCCTATACTATTTGAACCACTTGGAAGTCTTAATCGATTATTCTTTTAGAATCGGCAATTATTTTTGGTTATGCCAACAATCTTTTCACTTCTCAGCTCATGGCTACAAAGTCAGCAGCCACGCACAGGGGGGAGAATGAGGGTGTGTGTGCAGGCTCCACTGAACAGTCCACTTTTGAGTTTTTGTCTGTTAACACGTCTTAGGTAGCCCTGTCCCCTAGCAAAGGTTCAGTGTCCACTGGAGGAGGCAGAACAAACAACAATGCAACAGGACTGTACACCTGCGAGTGCCTTAGAGCTCCTAGACTAGTCCCACAAGACCCCCGCTTGGGGGAACCACAGTCACAGAGACGTGACAAAGAAATTAGCCATCGAGCTTGGCCTGCTCTCAGGTGCTAGCCGAACCACTGGTTATTTTCAATTTCAAAGGAGAAAAAACGGAGATGTAAATCAACGTCAATCATTACATAAGGAATTAAAAAGAAAAAGTAGGGATAAAATTTGAAGATTGGTCATCAGTTTGTGAACATACTGTATATATGACTAGACGGTACAGGATAGTACTTGCTAATAATCACCTGCTAATAGAGTCAAATAGTCATATGACAAAATTATTTTTTGGAAAACAAGCCCTGGCTTGGTGGTGCAAGGAGCATTAAACTGTTACAAATGAGAAGAGACTGTTCTTGCAACTATTGACCAAGCTGACTGCTATAAGGGTCCTATTCTTTCTGAGAGAATTTTGCAAAATTGCAATGCGTGTGGTTCACTGAAATTATCTGATAAAAAAATTGATGAGCATCCAGCACCTTTAATAAGAATGAGACACGCAGTATTATCGCTCAGTAATGAGAACAGTTACACTGGCTTTTGCGCTAATGCTTTCAGTCGGGCACTGTTCATCATAAATTTCTATTTTAAAAATTGAATTAAGCTGCCTTGATTGCAAAAGCACAGCATTGTCGTAATATTGCAAGTTTTTTTTTTTTTACCTGCCAGGGAGATCCAAGCCTTGAAAAGAATTACATCTAACCAAGCTGACATGTGGCACCATAACACAGAAATATGAGCCAGCTGATTTTTGCACTCCCTGAGGGATTTTTTTTCTTCTTTTTTAATTACAGGGTATCCTGTTGCCATCTTGGGGCAGGAATTCCAAAACTGTTTTGTGCACTTAAACCTTTTACAGGAGACATTTAGTGTTTTTTATGACTACTTGTCTTTAACCATCCAAATGCTTTTTCACTGCTTAATGTGCCATCCAAAGTACCCATTTAGTATGCCTCATTTTTTGTAATTATAGTTAAAGGCATTTCTTGGGAACATGATTAGTGTGACAGAAAACCAAATATTCTCTTTTAGTGCAATATATCAGGCTTTGGTGTATACAATATCTGCTGTTCGATAGGTTCAAAAACCAGTGTTTGAGGCATTTTTGTTTTCTCCAGGGGGATACTTCACTTCGCAGATATTTGAAATTAAGATCTTATGGTTAATTAAAACTGAAGACCAAAAGTCATGTTGTGTTAAGAGGTTATCTTGGCTGCTGAATGCTAAATTCCTTATTCCCCAAGGCTAGCTGTAAACAGTAAAGAGAAAGAGAGCCCAGTGATGTATTTTGCTTCCTTTACACAGATGCATAAAATGGTTAATATCTTGTTTTGGTTACTGAAACTCAGTATTACTAAGTATAGGTACTCACTGATTAGATGGTAGGAGTAAGTTTGGTAACAAACAAATTGGGTAGGATTTAACTACACAGGAACATAGGATGAACAAACTGTTTGGCTATAGTAAGTCATGTATACTGTAGATTTCTGAGCCAGTGAGGCTATACATATCATGCATTTCTGTAGCACATGGGTCTGGAGGCAGAGACAGAGCAGCCTGCTCCATCAGAAGACCACACATTTCAGTAATTCTTTATTCAAATGCTTAAAATTACTGTTCAACACAGTTTCATACTGGTGACATTCAAGAAATAAGACTACTTTCCTCTCAGGACTGAGTTGCTGTGTACTGCCAAAAACAAAATTCCTGGTTTTCACTGTGTAATTTACAAAATTCTTTTACACAAATACAGAAATGTGATACACCGTGAATCTGTTTTCTTCTACACAGTAAAAGCAATCTTCTAAAGTTGCTTAAAAAGGTATTTGATGTACAGAAGCTGTTTTTAAATCAAACCTTAACAACAGGGATTATGTTTTCAAAGCAAAGATGACAAATAAAGTAAACAACATCCACTGAATGATGGTCATTCTGTTAATTTCATTGTCTGGTGAACAGAAACATGGGTTTTTATTCAAATGTATTGCATTTTTTCTCTCAGTAAAGACCAATCATATATCACCAATAAGTAATGGAACATACTATGAATCCTTCCCTCTCAGATTCACTCTCTTGATTCTGAAATTCTGAACTTTCTTAAAATTCCTTAAATTCTTGTGATAACATTTCAAAAAGAATACTAACAATGGAGCCAAACAATGTGAATCATCTGAAACAGGAAATTAAGGAGATGCCCGTCGGAATTCCCTAACCCAAATTTTATTTGACAGCATGTTCCATTGCTCAGAACAGTATGATTCTTCCTGTCTGGTGAATATTAATCTCTCCTTTATCTTTAGCTGTGAAAGAGTTAATAATTTGGTTTGAATTATACCCTTTCTACTTTTCACAGATAACATGTCTACCATCTGAATGTTTGCTGAATTCAATTATAATAATTGCTTGTATTAGTGTGTTGGTTTTCATTCTTAACTTCATAAAGAGCTTCACATATTGGAGTGGATCTTTTTCATCTATGACTGAGGTGCAGTATCCACCTCGGTGGGGCATGGGAGGTGTTAAGTGCCGACAGTCCCTTTACACAACACATCATGTGGAGAACTTCACCAATTGATTTAAGAGGGAAATTTAGGGGTAGCAGATTGTGTAAGCCCAAAGTGGAATTTCACCTGTACACAGAGGACAACACCCCTACTCTTAAAAACTGCACTATGGGATTGTTACTGACCTTGTGGTCAGGATCTCAATTTAACATCTCAGCCAAATGATGGTGCTTCCTATAATACTGTTACCCACTTACCACAGAGTGGGATAAGTTTGCAAATTCTTAGTTCAGAGAAAGAGAGAGGGCCACCTACTTGTCCTCCAGCACCACATATAGCAGCAGCCCGGTTTTCCATAGATCTCCCATGCCAGTACCGACCAGGCCCTGCCTTGCCTAGCTTCTGAGATCTGATGTGCTCAGGCTACGAGGCATTAATGCTGCTAATGACAAAACAAAAACTACTCCACCTTTATGAGGGGGATGACCTCAAAGAAAGGTGTTAGTCACTGCTTTCTGACAGTGAACACAACCTTTACAACAAACTGCTCTAAGGCCTTACCTTGATTACAGGTCTTTCCGGTGTATCCTGGGTAACACTTGCACTTATTTGGTCCTACACATTCCCCGTGCTTACATCCATGCTGGCAGAGAGCTACGAGAAACAAAAACAAAGTGGTTGACATAATAACCCCCAAAAGTACAAACATGACAGCTTATGATTCTGAGGACCATTTCACATTTGAATGCATCACTCTATCAAGGTACTACTGTATATCTCTTTCTTCATCTTTGCCCTTCATTTACCTGCTCTTATGTTTTAAGGCTGCACAGTGCCAATGCTACATGTAAAAGCACAGGCCTAAAGATTAAACTAAAATATCGTTTTTAATTTTTTTAATTTATTTACAATGATTTAGAAAAGAAAGTTTGAGCCCTGTAGTCCAGTCTCCTGAGCTACCTGAGACAAACACTTTCCAAGTGGTGATACGACAACAGAAACCTCACTGACTTCCTGAGCGCTCATAGCTGTAAGCTTACAGTGCTGTTAGTGAGATGACTGCACAAGAACTCCAGTCAGTGCTCTCTTCTGTATGGCGGTGTGTGATGGGACATTTAGAAGTAGGGAGAATTAAAAGAAGCACTCATCCTAACTGAAAAGTGAAAGAGACATACAGTACAGTAACAGTAATTGGTTCTCAAACAGCAATTATGCAATTGACTGGTAAAACCAACAAACACGCTTCCCTTTTTTTGTGTTAATGTAAAAAAAAAATATTGTGCTTTTATTTAGCACGATCCTTTTAAATCCAAGATTAACTTTTGATTTTATACACATATTCTTAATGTTTGATTTTATACAACATATTCTTGTTGTTTTCCTTGGGTGATGTTTTTCCCATCTAACAGATCTAAGGTCTCCCAAACTGAGGTTCCAAAAATTTATTTTTTTAATAAGTTTAAAAAAAGTCACTGTTTTATTAACCTATGACTATTGCAGTTGTTGTTGTTTGCAATATGTAAAAATATAAAAACTTCATTAAAACTTCAACTTAAATTGAGGGGAAATCACTATATCTGATACTGTATGTGAAAGATTTGTAGAAAATATACAGTATGGGTTGTTTTATTTGGAGTTTTTGACAACACTCTGCTTCAAAGCTCTGGACTTTTTTCAACACTTTTTTTAATGAATTTAACTTTTTCAATGGATTATTTCAATCATCGATCTTTCTTACAGCAATGACATACAGTAGTAACAGAAATAAATAATACAATGCATTTTAAAGAACTAACATTGCCAAATAATTATTACAAAAAACATTTCACTCACATTTAGGCAAAATATTGTTTCATCAATGTAGAAAGCAATGCTTCACAATGGAAATTTATGGTTATTTAATATGGCATTTATCACTAGTCTAGCAATAGAATCCCACATTCTTCACAACATATTTAAATAGCAAGACAAATTACAAACATGTTTGTGGTGGTAAAATTTTAAATTGTGGTAAATTGTGGTGGTTTTAATTCATAATGAGTTATTTTACCTTGCAGTCCTCATTCTTTAACCTTCAACCTTTATAAATATTTGTATATGGACCTTCTGAATGTTGTAACTAAGCAGCATCAAAAGCATCATTAAGACTGTTATGACACAGTACCGTTTATGCACTTAACTAAAGCTTTCATGGGAAGAAAATGTGAAATGTGAATTTAGTGGTTTTAAATTAAGATGAAGGTATAATCCCAATTTGAATGAAGGAAACAAAACATCTAATTATTTCCTCTAATACCCTGTCATGAGAGGTCTGTGAATCTATTGTTTTCTCTTAGTACATACACCTACGGTAATATTACACTCAGATAAACACTGAAATCACCAGGTCAGATCTTTAGAGTATGTAAAAGTAAGTCAGACAAACACTATCTGGCATGAAATAGTGCTGTGAGAGGTATATTTGTACAGCACAGCCTTGGTAATGCTCAGACCCTGTGGTAGAATAATTATGGAGGTCAGATGCTACAATCATTTGTCAAGTTAATTGGCCGAGTGGTGACTAGCTATGCATGGCGACATCATCACTCCTGAAGCAAGTGATTGCTGAAGTACATTATTTTTAATAGCGACTCCTAAAGAAACCCTTGTTTTATTTTTGTAAGACTGTTTGCTATTGGGGGTATCTGCTCTGATTATTTCAATTAATGAACTGTCATTCTAAGATGTTTTATTTCAGGAATGGACAGATTTGAAAAGATTATGGTAAGGGTATCTTTCTGTTTTGTCTCCTGCACTTCTATCTATTCTTTGTCACTATATGCATTATTTAAATATAAGGTTTCCTTAAATGTTGAATATGAAAAGTTTCGATCTACCAGCATTAATTATAGTTAATGTTTCAGTGACACTCGGAGTTCAATTATTTTAGGACTGAACATAAGCTTCCAAGAGAGTGGCGTCATATTCATTTTTATTAGCTCATCTGTTCTAATAAAAATGGCATTGATCTATTTTCTCCATGACATGAAGTAGAGCCTCATAAGTCCTGTCTTACAGTATTAATAAAACCTAACAGCTGACTTATAATAAGGACATATCTACAAAGAATGAAGGGAGTCTGTGCTTTGCCCAATATGGCAAAATGATAAACTTAATTGAAGGTCATCCAGGTTGATTCCTTATCTGGTCGCATGATTCACTCTTAAATCTTATGGAATTATTTATTCATACAGCGGCTCAGTGAGCAGATATTTATTTATACGTTTTTACGTAATGGGAATGGAAAGTGGGCATGCTCAGAAGAACTCTATCCCCTTTCTTGGTGCAGGGAAGGACGCCCCTTTTTAGAAATCAGTCTGGCAAGCCGGCAGGAAATACCCTGTATGCTTTCTACACATTGAACGGCATCTTGTCCTAAAATTGGCACCCACGACAGAGCGGTCTCTCGTGCCTTGTGTTCTGTAGGTTCCTAGGATGCCACCAGGACATTTTCCAACAGCTAACTGCCATTCACTACCAATCTGTCAAGGGGACCTACAGTAAGTGGAATCTTTCACCCAGTAATGGGGCTCTCTCTCCCAGGCGGTCCATTCCCCAAACTATTCTGCTACATGTTGTAGGACTTTGTGCTCCTTCATGGGTGTCTCTTTGCCACATTAGACTAAATGGATCCATTAGTAGAGTATAGCAATAGGATACACTCTCTGTGTTTCAGATTCAGTGTAGGAAAATTAGGTAAAACTGGTCAAAAACTTTTTTGATATTGATATTGATTTGATATGACCAACATTTCAGGACATTTGAGAAGGTTCTCAAATATATTTTCAAAAACGTTATTCTAATCGATCATATCTTATCTCTATTGTTGTATGATATCCATGTGGCTTCTTAATTTTGGCAAGCAGATTATGTTGTGATCTCTAGCTAAATGCTTATACCATATATAGTGCATTTATATGGAAAATTATTTTAAAACTGTTCTAGTGTTCTTTTATTTAGAGCAAAAAGCCAATTTCTCAGAAAAAATACTGCCTACAGACCACTGCACATCAAGTAGTTCTGTTAGTACACAGATAACAATACCTTTACTCTCTGGCATTCACATCAAATACAAATATATTGTGCAAGAAAGACATAAAAACATACTGACATATTGCATATTATGCATCGGTTTACACAAACAAAACCAAAACATGCTCAAATGAGACAAATAATTAATACTTACAGCAATGTCATTACAGAAAGGAAATCAGCAGTAATAACAAGTTTATTAGTAATAAATTATCAACAGAGATAAGCAGTCGGGACATGTTATTTCCTCTGTTCTAGACAAAATGAATTCTGTTTGGTTTTTATGCTGCTCTATAAAGATCAATTTCATTTAATTATCATCTAGCAGGAGGCTGAAGGGACAATACAGACAACTGTACAGTATAAAGTAGTGATTACGGCTCTGGAATCACAATAAGAACGTTTTGTGTTTAAATCCCAGGTCAGGTACTACTGTTGTCTCTTTCACCCCAACTGCTCCCACAAAATACCTAGATTTATTAATGGGTGCAAATATACTGTAAGTCACTTTAGATAACAGTGTCAGCCAAATAAATGAGTATTGTAATAATAATTATCAGAGCTGTTTAAAAAGTAAAAAAATGTTAGAAGAAGGAGAGGTCACTAAAAAAGTATTGGTCAGCAATATTATTGTATTTTCTAGGCTTTATCCCTCTATAATTTGTTGGGCTATAGGACCTCATAAAGTTGTAAAGACAAAATTGTTGTTCAGTGCCACTGACTCTAGTTCGCAGTTGATCTGTCTTGCGATCAGATCTATGGAAAAAGACAAGTTAAACCACAAATGCCCATGGTTACATTTGAATAGCTGCTTAATTCTTCTTTAAAACCCTAAAATAAGGAAGAAAACACATATGAAACAAGGACAATTAGAGATTATTAACTACAAAGAATCACATTTATTTCAAGAATGTTAGGGCAAACAGTGACTTTAGCAAGTGCAACGTGTGCCACGGTTCTAGACAGAAGAAAAATTTGCTGCTGGAAAGGAGCTATTTATATCTCAGTTAACCCATGATTTAGAGGGCGTGCCTTCAGGACACAACTTGCCAAGATATTTCAAGAAATACGTGGAGCTAACCTTGGGGCTGGCACCTTATCCCGAATACTCTGTGCCTTAAGACGTAGAGAGCTGCAAAACAAATGTCCAAAAAAAGAAATTCCAGGATTTTTTTCTTTCTCTTTTTTTCATTTTTGAAAAAAATAACATGAACTGAGGCTGGGCTTGGTTTCTCGATAAGCAAGCATTCCTAACCACTTACACACACATACACACACTCAGCTTTCTCGCATTTAATTTCACAAATAAAACAGCTTTTCCCTAAACAAATACATTTTAAAGAGTCCAATCTTAATGTTTCTTTTACTCAAAACAGTTTTAAGACATTTGCTGCTTTTTTAATCCATTACTTTTTAAGGCCAAGCACATCAAAGATTTGACATTCATTTGGCATACTACCTGAAGTAATGCAAATCAGAGTGGATTTTTTTTCAGATGAAACACTGTAAAAGCAGGACCAGCACTTCTTAAGGAGACAGTATTTCTGAAATAGGAGCTCGTATAGAAAATCATTCAGCATGAGAGACAGAACATATATTACTGAAATAATGGAGGACTGAAGTATTGCAACTGGGTTTAATGTACTGAGGGTCCAGTTTCTTATGAGTTTTGTAGATTAATTTATCTTGGTTATGATGGTGACCTGATGCACTTAGTACTATCTGTGGTTAAGTAACCTAAACATTTCAGATTTTATACTGTCATAGTGGCCTTAAAGCTAGGCACTTTAGAACTTTTACCAGCTTTTTCCAGCTTTAAAACCTAGGAAGAAGAGTTAATGGAGTGCTTTTAAACCCAGATCAAACATCCAGTATCACATGTATAGAGAGAGTGTGGAATCTTTTCAGTTTTTATGTGTGACTTATAGGATTAGTTTCTTAGATTACATGCTTTTTCTTCTGTCAACGTCTTTAGAGTGACCATATTTTGACCTTTGCATTCTTAAATTAATTTTCACCCGTTCAGATAAAACCCCACGACGTCAAATATGTTAACACTGATAGATACCAATATGGTAGCAATTGTTTAATTGATTTACATCCAGGAAGACTATTGTATACCATGCCTCGGGCTGAACTGTTTATATTTTTGTCTACGGCACCAGAGATAGCAGGAAACCAATGTTGAATGAAAGACTATATGGGTGTTTGTTAAAAAAAATGTGCCCAAAACTATTAGCACTGGATTAACAGTAATATTTTATCAAAAATGTTTCAATATGTGTATAAGTGTATGCTCCCATGGAATAAATTACTGTGCCACACTTTAGAAACTTGGCAAAAGAGGAAAGAGTACTTGTGCTTTTGGGTCAGGTAATATCCAAATAAAAAACATTTCTGCTGGAGTCACTCTGCCACAGGCTGGAAATGCTGCAAGTTTTTTTTTTTAAATAATAAATGAATATAAATAAATAAATTTAGGTGTGCTATCCCAAAACGTGACTGAAAAAGCCTGCTGAGTTTCAGTTTGGGTTTTCAGCATGCACAGTACCTATCTGTCACACATACTGTACCAGTTCAGAGCTCTTCTGGCTTGGAAAGAATAGATCAGAAGAAAAAGGCAGAGCAATAGAAAATTCTGAGATGAAAACCAATGCCAGAATGCATTCAGGCTGAGAGAAACATAAAGTACTGAAAATCACTACCAGAGGTGCAATATTAGCTTGTGGTGAGATCCCCATTTTTATATCTTTGAAACAACCTGAACCAGCACTCTGACAGTAAAAGAACATTTTATTCATTTGGATATCAATCTGTATCTTTTTGAAATAACATAGAATTTCCCATTGATTACATCCTTGATATTACCAATTTTGCTTGATTAACTTCTAGAGTTAGAGAAAATAATTTTCATTTGAAAATGAACATAATGAAAAAAGTGGTGGATGTTTTTTAGACGTTTAGAGTTAGGAAAAATTTAGAAATAAAGTCAGAAATAAAGGAAAACTTATTTTTTCCACTAAATCTCACACAGTCCTTGGATATACATGAAAAGGAGAAAACAATCTTAAATTTACATGGGACCAGATACTGTCTCCTTAAACTGCTAGTTGCTTCAGTGTTTCCATTCCTCATAGATGTGAACATTATGATACTGATAATCACCAAATTTTCAAATACACCAGCAATCATCATTAAGAAGGACACATTAGCCCTATGCATTGCATTTTGATACAGCAATAACAAGAACACATACTTGGCTTTTTGACTTAAGAATTCTAGGTCCCATCAAAAGTATTCAACCACCTGAAACAGGGATCATTAATTTTCCCTTGATGATCTTTTATTCCAGACCTAGAATTGAATGCACAAAATGTGCATTATTCAGATACTGAAAAGAAAAAAAAGATAATATAAGAAATATACAGGGAATCTGTGATCCTTTTTTTGGACAATAATGTGATTTATCAGGGACAACAGGATAGTCTGTGTCTTTCTTCTCTTCAGCTTTTAGATTGTAAAGTGAAAGCTCTTTCCACAAGTGACAAAGTCTCTCTGTCTTTAACCTTTACAACACTGTAAACTCCAATTCATCTTAAGGTAAGAAAGACTGTGAACCTTTTACACTTCCCAGGAGCCAAGTTGAATGTCATGTGCTTAATGAACCACTGGGTCTTCTGCCAATCTAATTGGATGAAGTCGGACCCCGTAATGAGCTCCCCCAGAGAAACCGAGGAATACTTGACAGCACTCAAGCCCTGGCATGCCACTCCGTAACACGATGGCAACTGTAATGTGATGTAATGAGTTCCTCTTGGGTTCTGTCTCTCAAACTGGCTGTATTCCGCAATGTCATTACCATAGCTCTTTGTCAATGCTGAAAGAGTCATCTCATCAGGCAAGAATTAGGAAGCTAAGCTGGCATACATGTTGGTTAAGTGACTGCTGTGTATCCATGCATATTTGTCAGTTATATTCTTATTTACAACAGACAAATTCAATCATTCTAAAGTTTTCAATGGTTCTGACTGAACACAATTTGAAGAAGAAATGATGCGTGGATGTACTGCTAACAATGAACTAACGTCATTGACTGTGCAATTAGAACATCTTAAGAATTAAGACTAAAGAATTGTATGCACGGCTGAACTGTTTCATGGTATCTTACCATAATCCTCGAGAAAAAAAAATGATCTAACTGCAGAAAAAAAAGAGGGGTGAAATCAGCCCCAGGAGGGAAACATTTTGAGACCAAAGGCAGACTGTACATGGTAGATAAAACTCTCTGTTAGTTAAGGTTTTGTAAGTGAAAAATGCAGCATGCAGTGTCATGCAGGACACCACAGCCATTCACAAAAGCTGTGCTGAAAAGCTCTGGAGACCATGCTCAAGCTAAAGAAATGAAAAAGCTACAAAATAATATCAACCTCTGATGCTTTGTTTACAGACGTGGTAACCTTTGCCACTCTTATCCCCAACTTTGGGAAGGTAATTCAAATACTTTTGACAGGACCATGAATGCAATGGAATTTTTAAAGACGAACAGTTAAAAACAAGCAAAATATATTGCAGATTATTTGACGTAACATGAAATATGGAGACAGATGAATCTCACGTAAAACAATTAAATGCACACAGAATTTTGGCCAAAATGCATTGCAAATGACTTGAGCCATAACAAAACACAAAAGGCATGCTCTATTAGTTAACCCTTACATGTGACTAATGCGGCATGCAGTGTCATTCTCAAAATGTATGCATGAGCCCCCATGTATCACACAGCCTTAGCTTAAATTCATAGCAAGCAACAGCTGTACTATCCTGCACCACAGCCATGCAAAATATCTCACATTTCTCAGACTACTCTGCATATTCAGGCCCTATTTATATCTTAAAAGATCACAAAAATATTTCTAAATAAAAGAAGGGCGGTTTTTCCAGGGGAAAGCAATATCATACATAATCCTCTAGAAAGCACACGGGGAAATATGGAAACGTTGAGAGAATTTAATTTCCTGGAGGAGCACCATGACTGATTTTAAAGGAATCTTTTTTCCTAACATGTTTGTGCACCACTGTTTAATGAGGGAGTATGTGAGGTTGTTTTCTACCCTGAAACAAATAAACATACATAACTATGTTTCTGAACACTGTTGTCTTTCTTTTTCATTTGTGTTTCCTGGATAAAAATACTTGTATCTACAGAAGCACTAACGAGGTGATCTTTTTCTAAACGTTTTTTTCTCTCCTCCAAACGCATTGTGAACATTAACTGTATGTAATGATTGTGGAACATGGACCAGGATTTCAGTTTTTGAAATACCAAGGACATGGGTATAGTCTGTTATGTTTGAATGTTTACAATTGCTGACGAATTGTCTATTTAGACAAATCTGAATTTTGTGGAAATAGAAAAATAAGACTTTTTTATGAAAGTTACTATCTGGTATTCACCTGCATTTCTCCATTAAGCTGAGTTAGGCCACTCAGGCTATACCTTCTTCTTGCATTTCACATAGCATTTTGAAAAATAAAAACAGCTGGTTTATAAAAAACAATTTCAAAGCTCGTGCTGTTCTCATTTGAGAAACAGCAGAAGCCTTATTTCATTCTGTAAAAGTACCAAAATTCAGGGGATTTACCAATCACCCATCGAGTGTGTGCATAATGTTTCACATACAGTCTCTCTGATTTATATATGTTTTGGTTGGGTAAGGTTTTTTTTCATTAAAAAATCTAACAGAATTTAACTTTATTTTCCAAATGTAAATCTACCATTGTGCATGAAAGGTGAGTCTAAAAGAGGCTACTGCAGACTGGCGGGATCGTGAAAATGAAAAGTTGGTGGTCAGTCAGTGAAAGAAGCATTCTGGACCACATTTTGCTTACAGGTTGTTTTCAAGATCTGAAAATTCCTAAAAACAATGTTGTTTGATCCACCACAAATTTTTTGAGCACACATAGCTTTGGTATGATTAATAAGCACACGATGGAGTGAAGGTTAGTCCTGTTTCCTCATTCAATTCTGGACTAGTGAGTCGTTTGTAAGGAGTTTGCATGTTCTGCCATAATTCACATGGGTTCTTTTTTTATTCTAGTTTTATTCTATCTTCCTGGGTTATGGGAGGTGTTTAAACTGTCCCTTTGTTTGTATGTCCGACTATAAGGGTGAGGTCCTCCCTTGTGCCTTTCAAGTCTTAATTTCTAGGATAAGACTCAGGGTTGCTGTGACCCACACCAGAAACAAGTGGCTTTCTGATCATTAATGACTAATAAGTAATACATTTTTGTTTAGCATGTGCTGCCTCGCCGTTTTTTTCATGATAACCTAGTTTTATGCATGAACTGACCAGATGTTCACTACATTTGAACATTTGTTTTTTCTAAGACACAGTTATCTCAACTGAATACTTCATTATCTATCCAATCAATTTCTCCAGCATGCTACAGTTCTCTTTCAGTATATTATCCTACGAACCCAGCTTTCCTACCTATACCACCACAGTGCCTTCCTTTTTACCAGCCCATGATAATGAGCCAATCTTTTCCAAAGGAAAAAGATTGTCAGTGGTCCTGAAGCCCATGTGTGACTGCAGTGAATCAAAATCTACTATACATGTGTGTAGGTGCGTGTGTTAGAGTCCCAAGCGCTTCAGAATGTTTCTGATATGCCAGTGTGTTAAAGCAACTAGATAGTGTGAAAGCCCCCTCTAGGCTCTACAACCCCCAGCTCCAGCAGTACTCACGTTGGCAGTGACCCCAGGACCGGCGCGTCCATCCCCAACAGCAGTCTATTCTGGCTCCATAGCGGCACAGTCCATTTGAGGAGGCCAGCTGCCTGGGCCACCTGTCAGAAAGGAAGACTATTAGCTTAGTGCCACTGAACAGTTTGACAGTGGAAGAGGAAATGAATATGGCACCTGTTTGCTCGAAAAGGCCAGTTTGCCTCCCTATCAATAAACACCTTTATAAAGAACGAATTGTGCCTTATAATGACATCTTTAGCATTTTCACATTTACTTTGCTTTAGCGCTGTCTGTACCCTACTTCAGATTAAGGAAACTATAATTCGCAGTAGCTGTTTAAAACAATCACAGTATCACATATTTCCTCAAATTAGTGACATCTAAATCCACAGGTAAACATGCCTTTCTAATCAAACACTCTCCCATTTACAAAAAAAAAGCCCACATACTTACTCCAAGACTTTAACCAAGACTCACTATTTTGTATCTCAGTTTCTGTCAGTTGGAATACTCAAGATAAGGAATTCTAGGTGATCTTCACCTTTTCCACTGTCCTTTCATTAAAGAAACGCTCTCCTACTGTAATTGGAAGAGGGAGGTAGTGTAAATCTCTGTTTAGATTATCAGGGTTCTTTTCTTTCCTATAGAGGATTGTACCCAGAGGATGAATAAACCCTATAGCCTGGAGATCATATGAAGGGAATACTTGCTGACCACTTCATGCTGGAACTGGCTCAGGTTTTTACAAGTCTGAGTTGTTACTTTTAGACAGAGTCTGTTCCAGTGGATTAGGAAGACAAGACTGGAAACTAATCAAGCTTTTTAGAAACTAACCCTAGGATGATGGGCAAACTACTGTCTTGCCTAAACCACCTGCGTAGTTTCAATGTATAGAAAAAAACATGATTTTGTAAGAGAAATATGTATTACAGTAATATGTCTACTACTAAACATTTCTGTTTTATTTTACTCTGATATGTTTTTGTTATTTGTATAATCTACCATGTGTTGCAGCCAGTTACCAAAATCAGAATGCTGTATGCCAGTATGTGGCTGGTTTCTCTGTTATACAACAGATCACGCAGCCAACAGTCTGTCTGTTATTAATGTAATTTGGCTGTTTTAAATGCCCAATGAACTGTTCTTTGCAAGTCGGATTCCAAGCAACATGGAACAGACCAGTGTTACTGTATAGTATTCAGAAAGCTCTGTAGCTTACATGCAATATTTAAAATGTTGTTATGGCTGTTCAATGTTCTATGCTTCCAAGAGAGTCAAAACAAGGAAACAGGAAAGACCGTTTTTTAAGATGATAAATTACCAAAAATCAACAAGTGATGTTGAAACACTATAATGTGGAGATAAATGCCTGCAATCTCTTTATACCCCAATACCTTTATCACAGCTAAACTATACATTAAATTTTTTAACACAGTGTGCTTACTATAGTACATTCTGACCACATGCACATGCACATGCCTTTGAAAGGCAAAGAAATGTTAATGCTACTGACTTCCTGCTGCCCACCCGTCTGAAACCTTGATTGAAAACCTTGACACACTGAAACATTATCTTTGCTGCCTGGAAGCAAGTGAGCTCCAACAAGGCACAGACACAGCATAATTGTGAGCAGTTCAGTGCTTGGCTACTGTTCACATTGAGATTCATGGCTGTCGTTAATAGTGTCACAAGTGTAGACTAGCCAAATATCTTTGTGGGTCACTCAAGTCCTTAGACACCTGCCACTAGATTAGCTGAAAGTGTCTTCCACAATGAAAGCATGCCCTTTACATGGGCTGGAAAAATCCAGGTAATTTATAATAAAGGCACACCAAAAATGCAGCAGAGCATTGAGTGTATAACATTGGTTTTACAAGTATTACAAGCATTTTAAACAACAAGAACCGCAAATAACTACCATAGTAACAATAACATAATTATCCATTACCAATATTTTACAGCTCTATAAGCTCACAAAGATGAAAGTTTTATATCGCAGCAACTGCTTGCCAACTGTAACCTGCCTATAATTTGCCGCCCTTCAGCATTTCTGATTTAAAACTATTAGATGATCCAAACCAACATATCAAAATGAGTGATGCAAATGTACTTGGAGTCCACCGCCTTAAAAAAGAGAAATTCATCACGCTCCAGTGGAGCAAACTGTAACTCCTGAAATTTACATTGCTAGCAAAACTAAGATGGATACAAAATGAGACAAGCGCACAGTACACCACGCAATGGAAATGAACCCTGCATTTAAAATAAAATCCAAAGTCTCTGAGCACATTTTTCTACCAGCACAATGAAAGGGGCCACAATTCCTCAATTGCACAGTCTTTGACTTACAAAGACAACTACTTAATCCAGGTGAATGAGTATTAGCCATTCGCCAGTATTAGAACTTTCCATTTATGCAACTAACAGCTAATATTTACATTATTGGTATTTGTATACACAAGTTTTCAACATTTTGTATGGTCCTAACAAAATATTGACACAACTAAGCAACAAAAAGTGCCACAATACTGATATAAGGTATTAACTTTACCTATTTCCTTGTGTCAAGACTAGTCCAAATCTTGTCAAATGATCAGATGATTTATGTGCAATGGACACGGAAGATAAAACTTACAACATATAACAAAGAAATCTTTGCAATTCGTTGAGTAATTTATACGTACTGTTATATATACACTTTATAAGTGTTATATATACTGCTTATATAAACAGTACTTAGTATATAACTCTAGGTGCATTGCAAATTGCACATAAGGTATGGTATTTTTAAGAAGCTTGTGCGACTATGCGCCTAATTGCACACACTATTATGTAATAGCCAGAATGTCAGAATGTCTGACAGAAAGTGATGGAAGTAATTCTACTGTTATTCATAATATTTTCATGGCACCTTACCTTGAACCACTTTTCTAGTGGGTCACAGATGAACTACAGCAGTTAAGCAGAATTTACAACTCAGAGAAAGCCCCTTGTTCCTGACACCAACTTGGACACCATGCTAGATCATTTCAGAACTCAAACATACAGTAGAACATAAGAATTCTTCCAAATGAGAGGAAGCCATTTGTAAGAGCAGTCTTTCGGTTGCTAACAGCTAATCGATCTGCGGTTCTCATACTGTCGAACCAACAATTCGACTAGGATTGACTTTGTAGATTTCTTTGAGTATTCTGAGGACCTGGATCAGGTCCTCTCATTGTCTTCTCTGTTAAAAACTATGGATATTGAGTTAATTTAGTCCATCAGTGAATAACATTCCTTTCAGCCTAGGAAAAAAAATCTGGTTCCAATTCTCTGAGCCAGATCCAGACTACCAATATCTTTTTTGAAAAGCTGTGACCACAACCATTAAAGAATTCTTAATGAGGTCAATAGCCTCCCTTACTTTAAATTGTACACTTTAACTGGGGGGTGGCGTGGTGGTGCAGTGCAGCAACTGGACTGGGGAACTGTCTGTGTGGAGCTAGTATGTTCTCCCTGTGTTCGAATGGGTTTCGTCAAGGTGCTCTGGTTTCCTCCCACAGTACAAAAACATCCTGTTAGGTTAATTAGCTTCTGGGAATATTGGCCCTTGTGTGAATGTATGTGTATGTGTATGTCTGTGTGTGTGCTGCAATGTACTGGCATTCTTTCCAGGGTGTATCCTGCCTTACACCAGTTGCTTTATGCTATAGACTCCAGCTCCCCATGATTTAGAAGAAGCAGTTAGAAAATGTATATTTGAACTTTAACTAGGCCTTTGTATCCTAAGCAGCAACTAAGGTTGCTGCTGGAAGAGGTGCTAGTGGGGCCAGCAGGGGGCGCTCACCCTGCGGTCCATGTGGGTCCTAATGCCCCCCTATAGTGACAGGGACACTATACTGTTAACAGGCGCCGTCCTTCGGATGAGACGTAAAACCGAGGTCCTGACTCTCTGTGGTCATTACAAATTTCCAATTGGCCCTTACCAATCATGGCCTCCTAATAATCCCCATCTATGAATTGGCTACATTACTCTGCTCTCTTCCCCACTGATAGCTGATGTGTGGTGAGCGTTCTGGTGTACTATGGCTGCCGTCGCATCATCCAGGTGGGGCTGCACATTGGTGGTGGTGGAGGGGAGTCCCCATTACCTGTAAAGCGCTTTGAGTGGAGTGTCCAGAAAAGCGCTATATAAGTGTAAGCAATTATTATTATTATTATCCTACCATTCTGTTTTCCTTCTTTATTGCTTCTCCACAATGCACAGAAAATAAAAATGATGCGTCTACACAACAGCTAAGTCTTTCTCATCAGTAGCCTGTTTAAGCACCATATATCCACTTTGTATTTGTAGTTTATGGTTTGGTATCTACATGCCATATCTTACACTCATTGACATTAAATATTTTCTTCCAGGTGCTTGTCCAGTTGTGAATATTTGGTCTAAGGTTTTTTACATTTATTTTACAGTTTCTAGAGTGTTTGCCGATTTTCCTAGTTTGTTCTAATCTACTAACTTGACTAACTTGCTAATTCTATAAGAATCTAGATTGGTGGTTCCCGACCCTGGTTCTGGAAGAACACTGCTTATTTTCTTTTGAGCAAAGATCTTAAGATTACTTTATTGATCTACAAGCTTCCTCACACTTTTACTGTACTTATCTTGTTTATGTGATCAGTCCAAGGTATCAAAAACCCAGAACTTTACACAGCCTCTCCTTAACTTGCTTGCCATTATTTCTGATTAAACAGCTCTTACTAGTTAATCAGTTGGTGAAGATCAGAGACAGGTGGAAATGGAAGTGCATCACATTCTGATATTGAATGGTTTTTGCTTTTGGAGAGGTCCAGTTGGTGACATTTCAGGCAATACGCCTCTATGAGACCAGCTCTGAAACTCAGAAATTGGAATTTATAAGAATTGGTAACAATTAAAAAATCCCATTCGACCTTTACAAATTACAAATACGCCACAAATACAAAACAGTAATCAGTCAATCCTCAACGGTTTGGAGCCACCAATATACAGTAGATCATTCAGATAAACTAGGAGGAGCAGTGGTCTTAATATAGATGACTTAGACACTCCACTAATTATTCCCTCCTCCTCCATGCAAACAGAAAGGTACAATGTATAGATATCAATTAATCTAGCCAACATGTCTTTGGTAGGTGGGAGGAAACTAGTGCTCTCTGCAAAACTGGGGAGGACATGCAAACTGCCCAAGACCAAACTCGAACACAGTACCTAAGAGCTGTGAGACACCGAAGTGTCCCACCCCATTCAACAAACCAAACCAGTAAAGTCCATTTAAAATGAGAAATTCAATTTAAAGCCTCAGGGGAGTCAGGGGTCTCCAATCCTGCTCATGGAGGTCTAATGTATCTGCAGGTATTTAGTCTAACTGGGCTCTTAATGACTTGAATCAGCTCATTATGGGCTTAGCTGAACCAGTTGAACGGCTTCTCTTTGCTTTTCAGTTGAAGGTGCTTTAAAAAGACCTGGAAAATCTGTAGATACTAAATCCTTACCAGACATGTTTTGGGCACTGCTGGCCTAAATAAAGATGGAAATGAAGATGGAACAGGCAGAGTTGTTGCCATTTCCCAAAAGGGAAAAACGCAGTTATTTACTGACAACGTGGTGTAACATCAAATATCAATTAAGTTTCTAATACCTTAAACCAGGACATTGATGGTACGTAGCTCTTTTGGATAGCAAAATGAAAATGTCCATAAATCATTGATAAAACAGGTTTTGTTAGGAATTAATTCAAAGTACCACTTTGCTTATAAGATTGCCATGGATCAGTGTTGGTTCCCTTGCCAAAGTTGCACCTAATAGTCTGACTAAAAGGACTCTGGATGGGCAGTATAAATAAATAGAAATAAAAGCAGCAGGTCCAATTAAAAAATTCAATATAAGTAGGAAATCTGCAGTCAGTGACAACTGTACTGCAAGACAATGTTTTCCACAAAACTACAAACAACATTCCATAGTAAATCAGGGCAGAGGTTCTCTTATTCTCCAGCTTTGCTAACAGCTTTGCCAAAGGTTTCAGCACAAATCACAAAAGCAGTCAACGATAGGATCTGTCCCATAATACAATTGATGGTATTATTATTTTTTTATTTCCTGGTATTTAAGCTGTTACTTAAAATCCCAATTCATGATAACTTCATACTATTGAATCAGTACATCATTTATCTGAGTCGTTATGTTAGTCGAGTTAATTATATTATATACACTGAATAAAATGCCACAGTAATGAAGCAATAAAACAAGGGAATGCATCTGATTAGAAAAGCTTTTAATTGCAATTATTTCTCCTTTATTCACAGTTTCAGATGATCATCACTAACGGTGATAATTAGCCTAATGGTGAGTCTAAAGGAGTGCTCCTGCACTTGAGCTTAGATTCAGACACTGGTGCATGTCTACAGCTGGCCTGTGAATGGCCCCATTTGGCTCTCTTGCTCCATTACCTTTGCTGTCAATAGAATGCGTTGCTTGGTTTATCTAAGCGTTCATTACCGCTGAGGCTACGTTTAAGATAAGATCACTTTATGGGCCCTATACAATTTTCTCCTATTAGGAATTTGTCTTTCCGCATACCCCAACTTGCTCTCCATGAGACAAACAGACAGGGAGAGAAGCTTGGGGTCAGAACGCAGGGATAGCCATTTATACAGCACCCCTGTAGAGCAGTTGGGGTTAAGGGCTTCGCTCAGGGCCCCACCGGAGTAGGATCCCTCTGCCAGCCGCGGGATACAAACCGGCAACCTTTCAGCCATAGAGCTTTAGCCACAGAGCCACTGCACCACCCATTTTTTATAAAAAGCCATGAGGTTATGACAGAAGATGAGCTCATTAATGTAGGATTTCAACCTTAAAACTTAACTGCACATCATCATGACAGCGGAAGATAGTAGTAGTGGTGGTCAGATAGGCAATTCTAAAATTGTCAGCATGCTTAGATGACGCCAGGTATCGTAAGTCACCTGAACGGAATGTGTAACTTTACCCTCTAGCATTCATCTTTCTTTACAAATAGAACTAGTAAAGCTGGCCTTCCATTTTGTCCCCCAGGAATTAAATTCAATTTTTGCAATGCAGTTTACGGACACATATTTCAAGCAGCCCACAAATAATGGCGAATATCTGTTATTAATGTTCACCCAACTTGAACGCAGGGTCAGAATTATTTGGTTAACTCACATTTGCAAAATTGAATGAAGCCATTAAGTAAAATGAGGAACTTGTAACTATGGAAAAAAAAAACTTCATTCAAAACTAGGAATGAAATTACAACTCAGAAAAACTTAATTAAAAACGGCTACCATATGGGTGGAGCTGAATTTCAATTTCAATTTTCAGTTTCAGGATTTTTCAAACTACTCTTTGACGTAATATCGTTTTAAAGGGTGATATCAAAGAGGTACAATGAGTCCCTAAATTTCAAGAGCATCTCCGAAGTTCACAGTTTTTTCCGTCAGTCTAAACTAGGCTGTCCACTGGCATAACAAAAATAGAAAGCATGATGAATTCTAGAGCACATACTGTACATAACTCCAAACACAGCACAGAGAATGATGAGAGTGAAAGTTGAGCACTTCTAGTCTGAGAAATGAACTAGCGTGATGCAACTAAGTGCAAGAGGTTCGGAAGTCTTCTAATGTGTCAGTTAAAAATACACAGGCGGATCATGATAACACTAATAATAATAATAATAATAATAACAACAACAACTTTGGATATTATTTAACAATGGGTAATTAAAGTTAAGCTGCAATGCATTGGGTGGAATCTACTGAGTAATACATGTAGATAACTAAATAATTAATTTGGCAGGGAGCTTTTCAATTCAATAACATCTTAATTGGAACAACGCTCCCTGACTCAAACCCTCAGCGCATTCTTTTGCTTTGGCACGTTTTCTCTTTCTGTTCTTCAAACATTTCACCTGATTCGTGTCCGGACTTGAACTGAGAGGCAGTGTAAATATGTCACATTGCAGCGGAAGAAGAATGTATGCATTTAGATTTTTCTTCTTCAAAATGATCTAGTCCATTGTATATTATTTAAATATGATAGACTGTTTTCTAGTATTAATGCGTGTGCTCTTTTAAGTTTACTGTAGTATACGACAGTAACCCCAACATAAACAGCAGTGAATCACAATGAAACTGTGGTAACAAGCACGGTAAACTTTAGCAAGATAAATTGCACAAAGGACATACCGTAGGAACAATGAATAAGACAGTTAGTGCATAGCAAACAAAAACGAGGTAAACGCGAAAAAATACTTGGTAAACTTTTGCAAAGGGAAAGAATATGCAAAATATAATGACATTACAGAAACAAGAGGAAATAAAAATAGAAATCATCTTTATTATCATCCTTAGAGGTAAGTTCATAATGCTAAAGATAATCGTTTAAAATGTACAGTTGTGTAATGCACACTGAATTTCTAGACCATATTTAGACATAAACTGATTCAGAGAAGTCTTAGTCTTGTGATTCAGAGAAGAAAAAATCCTTTTTTGGTCTCGGCAAAATTTTTATTTTGCTCCTTAAAAGGCTACTAATATGCTTCGTTTCTAAACAGCGAATGAAAGAAACACCATCTTACCGCTGTCATCTTACAATAATTGTAAACAAGTCGTTAATTGGGCAGCAAGCCAGTAAAATAATTCACAATAGGCAAAATCCCCAAAACTGAGCACGACTTCATCTTTTTAGGAAACTAAAGCACGCAGTAACACGCACGTTGTGTAGTTTTACATGCTCCTATCAAAACGCATGTACTACTTACAGGAATACTGATTTTATTATTGCAATGTGGAGTAATGAATGGTTATTATCTGAGATAAGTGATTCTAAGAAATAAATGTTCGAACTACTCAATGCTGCTAAATGAACAGCGCCCAGTTACTGGAGAACGTCGCGTCTTACCTGCCGTCAAAGTCACCAGTCACTGCCAAGCACGCACTGGAGAAAAGCATCAACTTTATCCACAATCCCATTGTAACTGCTGAAGACGATGCACTTTTTTTCTAACTGTTGCCCCTTTTAAATCCAAGTACGTATTCAGAAAGGAAAGCTCAGTATTCAGATATTTTGGGTTACGTTACACTTGCTAATCCTGGCTTCTCGGAAAATCAAAAAAAAAATCACAGGAGTGCGAGAAAGGAGGTAGCGAGCTCCTAGAGTTTACGCAGTAGTAATGCTGGAGTCGCAAGCGAGGCGGCTGCTGTCCTTGAAATCGCTAATTTACAATGTTTCTGAGGTGCTGAAGAAACACTGTGCAGCCCCTGGGAATGGACCGAGTGTGTGAGTAGCCGAGTGCACTCTACTGGTGTTAGGAAGTCCCGCACCTTTTTTTTTCCAAGTTTATAACCAGACTCGCTCCTACTTTTCACAGTATGACTTCAAAAGGCTCCTCACACTCTCAAAACACGTATACTTTTTTTTATCTTTAATGGCGTTGTATCCGCTGCCTCTTGATTGCCTTAAACAACGCCAGGTACAGCCTTCGTTTTACCGTGATGTCTCTGCTACCCTTTATTCCCGGGGTAAATTGTTACAAATAATAAGTAGCGGTAATTTCGCATGTGCGCTTTTCCTGGCTCCAGAAAAGGTAAGTTGCCAAGCCCGCAGCACCGCTCTCGCTGTGGCTCTGGTGTAGGAATGCCTGAATGAGATTCAGATATTGAAACGGCTCCAGGTAGATGCTGCTGTAGCCCATCCCACCAATACAGCGATAGCCACGAAAGCAATCGTCAGGTGCCTTTCTGTAAGCTTGCAGCACTAATGTTATAACACATTTGCACACATATGTATACAGATACTGTATATCATTCTGCACACATTCAGAGTTTAAACACTCCAGTGGGTATTGTGGTTGTAAAACAGTAACCCGGGCGCGTACCGACATAAATCGATACATTAATACTTCCTAAGTCTACCGTTGCATACATACATTAAAGAGACTTGATTGTTATAAATAAGTGATTTCTGGGGAGGGGTTGTATTCACCTACTGCGTGCCAACAGATACTGTAGTTTTGACTGAGCAGACCCCATGGAAAATAAAGCTTTGGTCACAATGAAGTTTGGTCAAAATATCTCAATTGACATTTTCAATTTTTTGTTCCCAGGATTCCTTTTATGATAATATTCAAGAGTTTGTGTTCGGCAGTGGTAATTGTCATGTTTAAGAACCGTTTTTTTTTCTTATGCATATTTTGCGTTTTGCTCTATTTGTCTCATCACTTACTAAATGATGTCTACATTTTCTAGTATCGTGCACAGTATATTGTATTTTTGTACAATACACCGTATTGTAAATGTATTTTTCGCAAATGTGAGATTCTTCTCAACATAGAGCATTTGGTTGCTAGAGCGTGGCACGAGAACCACACCTTAGACAAGTGACACGCCATGAGATAAATGTATAAAAAAAATAATTTCTATAGAGAAATTAACTTAGGTTTCCGAAAAAGAATCGAGCTTGATCTGAAACTCGCACAAAAAAATGTTAGAAGACTGTAACCTTATCTGCGATTCCGAGAAAACTACACCATCAACAATAATAATACATTTTCATTTATGAGGACTTCTCAAGAAACCCTCAGCCTTGACTCACATCAATACAGTATGGAATAGAACGGAAGTAACCCCTTACCAAGCGAGTGTCATGCATTAACAAGACTCTTACGGTACACAGCTGGTATATGGAGCCAGGGTTATTGAGCAATGCACATCAGGGTATAATAAGTATTTTTTGGCAGAGAGAATAAAGTATTTCAGCGAAGACTGTCTGGACTGCACATGCTGCCAGTGCCTGCCCTGGACTGCTGGAGGCACACAAAAGTTGTTGAGATGTTATAAAAATCATCGTCAGAGCTGCTGATCACATTTTAATGGGTATTTGCACACATACAACATGCTAATACGATTTGTGACAAGCAGAATATTTTGGTGCAGCTATAAATTAACTTTCCTGTTTTATGACATTTAAAATTAGTAGTATACATTAGATCGGAAAGTCGGTACAGTACATCTGATCTGTTTAGCTATTTCACTGGTAATACTGCTGAAAATAATTAAAATTTTCTGTGCCACGTGAAAAGTTTTAATAGCATTACAAAAAAATAGTCAGTAAAAGGTGGCGTTCACATATTCTTAATCATTTTACACCTCTAATAAGCTTTATTTTATTTAAGCTTTGAAACACTCACAGTATGTGGTCTCATGAAAACACAGTTATTCTTACCAATAACCTTAAACGGCTTTCAGCATTTGAAAAGGATGTCTATCATAATCCATATCCAGTGTGTTAAAGTGCCAGTCTCTTTTAAATAAAATGATCTGAAATTAAACAGCAGAACCTTTACATTTTTAAAGTAAAATATTTCTATTTAGTCAGACACCAAAATGTTTTGGTGGCACAAAGTGTTTTGGTACACAGACTTTCAGGTGTTGTACAGTACAGTATATGTCTAGTTTGAACAAACTTGCCAACAGCAAGACACTGGAAGTCTGTAAAATTATGCAATGAAAGCCTAATCCAGTGCTTTTGAGTCAGTTGTAGTGAAAAACCATGACAAGACTTCACTCAGGATTTACAGAAGCATAATTTGCTCAAAACCTCCTTAGTTCAAAAGTGCTTCTGTGTGGTTTTTAGATGGACAAACCTTTTCTTTGACTACTGCTCACTGAAGGGGGATTTACCTACTGAACTCCAGTTAGGATCTGAAAGGGAGTTTTCTAATGCAAATAACAGCCAAAAGAAGGATTTTCTCCTTCACTTCAGCTTCAAGGGCAAAAGGGGATAAGAAATGAATGGGCAACGTTTGATAGGATCTAAAAAGTCGGAAGTAATTAAAAAGCTCTTATGTGGTGCAAATCATAAAATAGGGAACTCGGGAAGGGAGACTTGCACTGGGGTAATGCTGAGTCAGTGAAGTGAACTATCTTTAACAAACCTATGCTGCTTCATTCTTTTTTCCCATTGCACCTCACAGATGTGTACATTTACATTCCTTAAAGTGTATGGGGGGAAAAATGTTTGAACAGGGCTCAATTTCTCAGCAAGCGTGTACAGCAGAATGCAGCTGAGGGAGAAGCATGGTTTATACTGTACCTTTGTTTTTCACTTTTCTTGCCTGGTGTTTAAATCACATTACAGTGAAGATTTCATTGCCTGAAATCACATGATTCATGAACACGCGAAAGCAGTTCCCAAAGTTATGTTTGTGAATTTTACGTTTGATTGCAAAGCCGTATACAATACGGTTCAGTGGCCTTTCAAACCTATAAAAATATTTGTCCTGTGAAATGATAAAGTGATGATGTAATCTTTCAAAATATTAGGTAGATGATATGCCCACCGAAGGGACTATGTATCTACAGAAGAAGCAAATAACAAGGAAAACCTATTTTTATAAAGCCTTTCAAAATTAACAAACTGTACAGTACTTCAGGGGCACATAAATCTCTTACTTTGTTCTCATCAGGCTCAAACCATACATGCTAAGAAATACTAGAGGGTACAGATAAAGAAAACTGTTCACTGAAGAGAAAAAAATGGATTTGTGAGAAAGGATGAAGGTTTTTTTAAATAAAGCTAAAAAATAACCTGGGAATTCATAGTGAAAATGAATTCAAATTGAAAAGGGGGATTTATAAGAAACATTAAGGCTGATATTCTTTGGTACTTTTCCATTTTCTTTTAAAAGACAGCTTCTAAAATACCAGGTGGATACTTCATGTAAAGTAGTTCTGTATCAGTCCAGATTCTCATGATATGTTCCTTAAAAAAAACCCTTATCTGCCCGACATTCAAGAAGATTCCTTTTTCAGTTTGATCTTCGTCAGTATGCTATTTTTGTTTTTCCATGACTTTACCACCATTACACAACAAATTTACTTTGCCAAATCATACTTCTCTGTGCCTTACAGTTTTTTGCCACGGTCCAACGATACAATTTTATAAGGGCTAATTTGTTTTACTGGTGAGCCAAATCTCATCTTTAGCCATAGTTCTTGTATTTTTCCACAGGTAAAATAATGGAATGAAGTATCTCCCTTTTGAAATATTCCAGTTCTATAAGCATCAGGACCATCAGGTTGTCAGTTGAGCAGAAAATTCCTGCATTCTCAGAATTTTAGGCAAGAACTGTGATTGAAAACTCCTCTACAGTACTTCTTTATCAAGGAGACTTCATACACCCCTGAGCAGCATGCTCTACATCTCTGGCTGGAAATGTATTAATAAGCTGTAGTCCAAAATGCAAAGGCATCTTAAATAATAATTTAGAACATGCACAAGTACAGTAGACATTTAATATACAGTATATATATACACTGTACAGTATTTGTTTTTTCCTGAAAAAAAATCAATGCCACATTCATAAAGACTTAACGGTGAAGGAATAAATGATTATGGACTCTGTAATGAAAATGAATTTAGGATGCAATAACATGACGTAAAACATGACAATATTCAAGTGTTTCATTAAATCCATTTAATGATCTCAATTCACAGTAATATAAGTTTTTTTTTCCTCTGTCAACAGATGCAATGTCTAAAGCATCTTATGTCTTTCCTTGGAAATGTATTAACAAGCTATAGTTGAGAATGCAAACATGTACAAATCTTTTTAATTTAAACATGCAATTAAAACCAATATTGTAAAGTAGCAAGGTATACGTTTAAAATAAATCTAATATTAGTTTTTCCCTGAAAAAAATCAATGCCACATTCATAAAAACTTAAAAGAATGGTGAACCAAAAAATGATTATGTACTCTGTAATGAAAATGAACATAGGATGCAATAATACAACATAAAACATGACAAAATTCAAGTGTTTCATTAAATCCATTTAATGTTCTCAATTTACAGTAATAGAACAAGTTTCTTCCTCTGTCAACAGATGCAATGTATAAAGCATTTTATGATGCAACACAGTTTATTATCTCTCATTAAGTAACATTACCAGGCAATGTTCTGGCTGGGTGGGTGGACAAAAGCTCATGACTTTATAACAAGGAGTCTGCTATACATCTAATCCCAAAGCATTTACATCAATATACAGTATACTGTATACATTGCATTATTTGTTTTAAAGTAAAACAATAACATTGTGGAATACTGAAATATCCAAAGTTAATATAAAAAATGGCATTACTATTAAAATCTACAAAAACTTTTCTAATTTTTTTTGTTAAAAAATAAAAATCTAAAACAACAAATTAGAAAAACTGATAGCTTGATGGTTCATCTTTGCTAGCACGTTTAATTTTGAGGTGAGATCTTTTTCCGCCACCTTCACAGCTGTGATGCCTTGCAAGATTTAACAAACCTGGATTCAGGAAACATGGAGGGTGTGATACATATGGTACTTTGAATAATTAGAGATACCAGGACATCATAAGGAAGCATCATATTGACTTTCAGCACTTTCACTGGGTGAGGATTTCTTTATGCCAAAACCAGTTTTCTGACACCAGATGACTTAAAGATTCTAGTCACAGCTGTTTCTACTGGTGACATAGAGCAGATTACAACATCAGAAGATTATTTCAATTCAAATTCCTTAGGCAGTGACGCTAAAACACTATAAAATGATGTTTGAATGATTCAGTGGGGACGGAGACAGCAGAGAAGAATGTCTTCCTGCAGCTCAGGGAAGACT